GCACCATCGGCTCCGCGGAACCCCGTAGGGTCGCCCTACAGAAGTCGGTTCATTTCCAAGTTGTTTTTCTTTTCTTTTTTTTTTTGTAACATTGATGTCCATTGTTTTGTAAAATCTGTAAATACAAGTTTTTCTCAGCCATCTAGAACTTCTTCAGCGTTGCTTCTGCTTCCTCGTCAAGCGACCAGCAGGCCAACAGCCGCTATTGGGATAGCGGCGTGCGTTTCTTCTCCCACTTTGCTACACCACTGCGGGTGGAGCGCCTCGGGCGCCGAGTGGGGAGAAGTGGTTTCTTCTACATCGAGAAGAAGAGAACCTGATTTTACTGTCGCATTAAAAAATATTCGATTTTCAACTTTTTAACAAAATCTGTGGATTCGTACTTTGCAGAAAAATTGCAGCAATATTATTAAGCTTCTAACTACTGACCCGAACACCTACGTTTAATAACCAAAAATGGTGAAATAGCATTGATAATAGCACTAGTATCCTTATAAAAATTTTCTGACGAGCGTCTATCAGAAGACATTTTGAAAAGAATCGGCAAGCTGTTAGCCAGGAAGGATTTCTTTTTTGCTGTGCGATATGTTACTAATAAGCACTTTTTAATACAATGATCCAGCACAAGCCTATATTCTATGGTCGCTTAAATGGTCGGATCACTTGGCGTGGAACGATTGTACGTGCACATATTTACTAGCTTTATGCATATACTACAACACCTCGTGACATCCTTTTACTAGCCAGCACCTACTAAAGCTGCCTTACAACTTTACTGTAACCGGAGTTACAAACCAGGAAGTATTTCTGTGCTATAACTGCGTAAATTATTAGCTACCTAGACTGTCAGACGCATCTTTCATGCCTTAGTATTACTGACGCAAGTGTGACTGTTTCATGCTAATTTAAGCAACCTTTAGTTTTGCAGTCACGTTGTAATAACAGTCTCGTGCTATGTGACGACACACATTTATTGAATTATTATGATACAAGTTAATGGTTAGAAAACAGTCGTTAGTAATCTAATATATACGACTGCTAACTGCTACTCAGCGTGGTATACTAAAAAGCATAGATACCTTTCAAGATGCTCTTAGAGTATATATCGTGTGCGTAGTAGCCAATACTCCATGCGTGCGTGGGTCTGTGTTCTGGTTTGCTGCCTCTTTATGCATCTAGTTACATCGCTTGGATGTGCACTTACTCCGCTATTTGCTTGAAGCAATTAGTGGAAGAGGGCAAGGTCGGCCTGTTAATTTTTTTTTATATTTCATCTTATACGTGCCTTTGAAATATGATGAACTAGAAATTGTAATGGACGCAAACGTGAAAACGAATTTATTATTTGTCGAAGGCTTAACGTTTCAAAACCACCATAGGATTATAAAAGAAAGCCGTAGTTGAGGGCTGTGGAGATATCGACAAGTTTGGGTTCTTTAGCGAGCATCCTAATCTAAAAACACGGGCATCAAGCATTTTATCCAACATCAAAAATGTGGCCGCCGGAGCCGGGATTCGAACCCCTGACTGGCGGGTCAGCAGCCGAGTGTTTACGCCACAAGACCACCGTTGCGTTGTTGCGTTGGGTCTAAAAATGAGACTCGCGAAGCCCTCTATGCGCGTAATCGTAGTTAATTAGTTTTATTACGGCTACGAAGTTGTTGTCAGGGTGGTTGCTAGAAACATAGTGATGAACTAACCCTTCAAGTTAGTGATATTTACTTAGCAAGGAGGCAGTCAGTTCAGCTGATCTGCGTTTCAGAAGCCATGGCTTATTGATGCGCCTGTAAGATCTTCATGTGACTAAAAGACGGCTATAGTATTCAGTGAATATTCTGACCCTTTCTTTCCTAAAAGCGTAGGCTGAAAGTCAGAACTCTTGGCAGCCAATCAGTTGAGTAACGAGCTAAGGTATACTAAGCCAGAAAGCAAACAAGGCAGTGAGACGAATAGTTCTGCTCTTGCTACAGTGGCCACTAATTGGTCGCTCGTCCGCTGCACACGCACAGAACAAAACCAATAAACATTCAATCAAGAGGCACTTGCGCAATGTTGATCTAGCGTGGACGTTGTCCATTCCTAAATGACTCCTCAGTAGTAAGCTCTTTCCTCCGAAAGCTACAGTGATTTGCTGAGCTAATTTGGTTAAGGGAACACGCGGAAGAAGTACACAAGGAGTGCAAGTATCACTTTCTTTGCTTTTGTACGTGTCGTATATACGAAGAGAGCGCAAAAAAAGAAAAAAAATTTGACTCTTTTTACTAAACCACGATGACACAATAAACCGGTGAACCTTTCACTATAATGAATCCGCTATAGTGAACATTTCTATATTGAATATATTCGTTATCGTTGGCTAGGGAATCGTGATAGAAACTGAATGATTGCGGTGTTTCACTTGTGCATAATGCATAGCATATCGTCAAAGGTGGCAAAGGTGGTCTCCAAATGAAGTCCTGTAGTCGATGAGAAATGCTTTGATTTCGGAATAAGAAAAACGGCATGTCATTCGTTCCTTACGCGAATGGTTCTTGTCCCTGAGGCGAAATCGTTCATAATGTTTCGGCCTGTGGGCAAGATCGTGTGCCTTGACTTTTGTGCCGTGTTCATTTCATTTGTACGCGCACAGAGCGAGTTAGTCGAGTTAACGGCCTTGACGAAAACTTCGCGTGTACGCGTCCTTCTCCGTGAACACGGTCCGACAGGGAAAAAAAAAGCCGCATAAAGCTGTGCCTCTTATTTAATCTGTAGAAAGGGCACAAGTGGGGTCGATTAAAACGAATTCGCTGGTCATTCTGGCAAGAGGTGTACATCACAAAACAATAACGTCTTCAACGACTCCTACAAAAGGCGCCAACCAGGAAATGCCAAATAGTATAATGAACTTGACAATCCAGTACTAAAGAACATTGTTTTGAGCTTGAAAATACGTTTTTATGAGCGGGCCGCCTAGCAATGAAATGTAATCAAAGACCACTGACGCTTCGTGTGGTGTACCACTCATTTACGACAATATTCTAGATAATCTCTCGGCTGAAAGCAAAGGCGCACGACCCATGCGTCGTTGTAGTCGAGTTCATGCCAAGCTCATGTTGAGAATAATGACAGCTTGTCCTAGTAGGTACGTCATGGCATGTGCGATAGCACGAACCGAAGATGAAGGGTAAAGTAACTACGTAAAAATGAAGCCATAAATCGCATTCTTCTTGACATAAACAAAGGCTTGAACTTGAACTGATGTAGAGTGTTGAAGGTACTCTAAAGAAAAATAGCGGCTTGGTTTATGTTGATCTCAACACTGAGAATGCTCACGGGATAAGTCTCACTCTCATAAATTCATTGTTAGGACGAAAAAACAGCATTGAAATTTCTCTTTTAAAATTTGTGACAAAACCAGTGTGTGTGATTACAAAACTTTCAGTTTTTCTTGTATTTTCTTGACATTTTCTCGTAGGAATATTCTGAAACAGTCGTATGCTAGTCATATGGTACCCGCAGATGAGAATGCACTTCATTTTTCACAGTTAAAAGCTACGTAGCACCTAGTAGTTGCCTTCAAAACAAATGACGTGCTTGTAGCGGCCGATACGTCATATGCGGTCTATATATATGACGTCCCTTTAGCAGCCATCGGTGCGGCATGGTTGATAGCAAGCGCCAAAAAAGCGCCATTTCAAACGGGTGTCTATAGTAATGAGACGATATATATATAGTGCCAAAATATTTCGGTGTCGGTATGTGCATTTCTTACTGAAGAAGAGGAAATTGCAACCGAGACGCTTGTATTCCGTTTCACGACCCTTTTATTCTAAGCGCATGAGCCTCGCGTATTTTGCCTCGACTACATCTAAATGCGACTGCTGCAGCAAGGATCGAACTCGTGGCCTTCGGGCCAGCATGCAGACGAGAACTATGACCGATGCTCCACTGCAGTGGATGGAAGAAGTGCTCTCAGACGGCACATAGAAAGAGGCCATTTTTCAGAAGTCCAGTGCCTGAGCCTGTTTACATGTCGTTTTCCATCATCGTTACTGCATGTATGCGTTTTTGATAACAAAAAATAGATCAGTTAATTATTGCCTTTTGTACATTTCAGCCCGTTTTGATTAGGAATTTTTGCAGTGTAGCAAAGCTTTTGAAGCGTACTCACAAGTCACCAAGATTAGGGACCTGTGACGTCACGATGACGCCATGTGAAGGCGTCATCACGCAGCTTGTTGCTGTTTACTTGTTTGCTTGTTTATTCGCTAGTTCTGACGCCAACACAGCCAACGGTCCCTATACTCGTTTCATGAAACGTCCACGGTTATATCGCTTTATTACTTTAAAAAGATTTATTACACCGTTGATATTAACCACGTGCTAAACACCGGCGCCACACGTTTCAGCTTCGCTTGTTAACTATCAGTACGAAGTGTCTTGGCAGTGTCCTAATTTTTTAGTGTTTATCACTTATTGCAACTTCACGCATTGCCGGAAATCATGATTTTAAATTTGTTTATTTAGTTATTTCTTATCCCAGCGCGCTTGGCACTGATAGCAAGAACGGCACCAAAAGTGGTGGAAATGTTTTTTTCATATCATTTTGAAAATGAAAGCGACGTTTTCCAGGCCAGGGTCAGCCAACGGCAGCGCCGGTCTGGTCAACCGAACGACTTGGTTAGCGTCCCCGAAGGTCACGAATTGTTTTGTGCTTTACATCTGCACTCGATCGCTTGTTGATTAGGCACCGAGTACGCAGCGATCGTTTGACGCCGAAGCAAACGCTTATGTGTCCCCGTGTGCGCGATAGCGTGAGATAAAAGAATTATCGCGTAGCCAGCGTTTTCTCACACGACGCGTCTAACAGAGGTATTCTGCTCTGTTTGGCACGGAACTCCCCACAGACCCTCTGTAAACGGCCGTCTATGGGAGCACGGTGCACCACCAAGGCACCGTTTTTGCATCGCCGTTACGAAATCATCTGGCTTTGTGCCATCGATAGTAGCTAACCACTCCTCCTTGTTTTTCTTTTCTTTTTTCTTTTTTTTCTGCTGGTTATTTTTTCTTCAGACACAGCCTCCTGCTTTGCAACACCTTCAAGGTGCACGCTCTTGTCGACTGCCGCTGGAAAACGTCCCAGTCTAGCAAGTACCGTAGAATCTACGCGATGTTTCAACTGGAATACGCTTCGGTGCTTTCTTTCTGGGGTCCTCTTTCTCTGCTACTTGATTGGTCGCTGGCTGATCAGGTGAGAATTTTTTTATTTTTTACAGTGAGAGCTGTTATAAGATCACAACACGTGTCAGGTGCGGCGCCGTAGTTGTCCGCCACCGCCACCGCCGCCAGTAGCCACTATTGCACGAAATAGCAAAAAAAAACTCAGTAAAAAAAAACAGGACGCAGCGGGGTTTGAATCGAGTTCTTTGCAAGCCAGCCCAGTAATCTATGACTAAGCCACGCTGGTTTTTATTTCTTTATCCCACTGAGCCAAGCCGGTGTATGAAACTCATTTGCAATTTCGTAGGCAGGTTTGATGTCGGGAAAGGAATAGTGGTAACATGAGTAGTAAATCGTTTTAGAACTGCAAAAGAACAACGAGGCGGCACACATTGCAAATTGCGTAACGAGTGGGTCACCCAATGCTCCAACGCATTAAAAAAGCTTGTTCCTCATCACCTATTAACTGAGGCGCACACCAACTTCAAGCCTAATTCGTTATCGTTGTCAGCCACTGCAGAAACATTTCGCACAAAATTCCTTGCAACTGTGCAGCGGACACCAAGCTTTTCCGAAGAATTACGAAGGATAGCATACTAAACACCGGCTTACTACGCAGAAATTATTATTACTTATGGCGCAGTGGGTACCCAGCAAATGTGCCTGTAGCAGTTTCCCAAAGAGTGTTACGAATAGGCTCTGAAAATTCGCTTTTCCAACTTTCGCTGTGACTGTGCTTCGTGTTCCTCGTAGGCCTCGTGGTTCTCTTGTCTTAAGAATCAGTAAAAGCTGCCACGGTGGTCTAGTGACTGAGGCACTGAGCTGCTGATCCGCAGGTCACGGGATCGAATTCCGGACGCGGCGGCCTCATTTTCGATGGTGGCAGGAATTCTCGATGCCCATGTGCTTAGATTGAGGTACACGTTAAAGAAACCCATGCGGTCAAAATTTCCGAAGCCCTGCGGCTCCTCTCATAATCCACTGTGATACCTTTTATCATGTCGTGGTTTTGTGCCAATAAACTCCAACAATCATTATTAATAATATTAGGGGTCAGTAGAGGCTGTATAGAAAAAAAACAAGCGTTTGGTAAAACCGACCCCTAATTTAATGTGTGAGTAAAGGTGAAATACTGCGGGTCCCGCTCTGCAGCTGATGAAATACTCGCCTGCCATGTGATGCACCGTGCCTGTGCAATTTACCTGTACACTTTGAGGTGACACTAGGGTATGCTATCGGCGCACCGTGAAGAGTGAGTTAGTTTCCAATAGAACGCAGGTATTATTATTTTTATGCTTGACAGCCCAACTGTGCAAATTCATCATACCGGAGTCTTTGGGAAGCCATAGTTGATTTTTCAGTTCTTTAGAAGCAAAATAATTGTGCTCTTCAGAACAAATATTCACGACGCTGACGAGATTCAAGTATTGTTTGTCACTGCACAGCGCAAAATGATAGATAATGTGGTTGGAAACGAATGAATTCATTGGGATTAAGCACAAATAAGAACACGTATGTAAGCTGCCACTTGGCCGTATGTACTACTTAGAGAAAAGAGCTAACAAGGAAGACTTGACTGTATCGAAGACCTCTATTCGGTTCAAGAGAAGTTTATGAAGTGAAAGTAAAAAAAAGTTTTCAACTAGCAATAGTCGCCCCTCAGTTATCACTTCATCGGGTACGACACCGCCTCTGCGCAAAGTAATGCCTCAGAAATGGTATAGTGGAAAATCCGCCATTTTACCAGCTGCAAGTTGAGATGTTAGCGTGCAGTGAAATAAAAAAGCAGCGTTTTCCTTACGTGCCATACCAGTTTATGTAGAAAACTTGCTGCCACCCCTGGTTCTCGGCGTCCTATAAGTCGCGGGCCCACGCTGTAGGAAGGAGGTTGTGCAGGGCTACGGAAACTTCAACCATCTGGTGTTTTTTAACGTGCACAGACTTTGCCGGTACATGGGCCTGTGGTATTTAGCCTTCACCTAAGTGAGACCTCAATGGCAGGGATCGAAATCATGGCCTTTGGGTCATTAGCCTGGCCCTTTAGCCACTAATTCACCACAATAAACAAATAAATAGCTGAATAGAATAGAAAAAAAAACCACTCAGTTAAGTCTTGACGGTGTTCCCTCTGCCTTGCACCCATCTGTGCTGCAGTATAATCAGAAGCTAATGATAAAGATAAATAGATAAACGTAAATGCCGTAAAAAATCATGTGCTGCACTGTATAATATGGAAACAATGTGGTTTTAGGCTAAGACAAAAGAAAACAAAACGGACAGCATGTGTGTGCGTTGCTATCTATTGTCGACGTCTAGAAACCACACTGTTTCTATTTCGCAACGCAAAACCAACAAGCCCGTTCCTTAACTTTGCTAAAGTGAGCGACATCAGGCCGAAGAAAGCGGAAAGTAGTCTGAAATACCCGTGTCGACCACTTATTCTCTGCTTGAATAAGTGCTCGAAAGGTCAGGCTGTCAATACAGGCCATGCATGCACCTCACACGCTACGTCAGAGGCCAATAATGCTCAAGATGTCACGCCGCAGAGCACGACCAGCTGCTTCTGCGCTTTTCACAGACGTGGCCATGGCTGTACAGTGATTGTCTGTTCTATTTTCACAATACAAGCGCACGCGAAAAAAAAATATAATGTCACCAGTCCGAAAAACAAGCACTGCTGTGTTGACTCTCAAGCCTTATTCGACAAAGTGAATGAAACAGGTGGATGTGGTAGTTTTTACACAGAAAGCTGTTATGAAATCATTTTTCGGGTTACGCGCAGTTGTTGTCCGCCGTTGCTACCGCCGCGTCCGTAACCACATCGCGCGAAATTAGAAAAAATAAACCTTGCACTAATGACACAGTGGGGCTTGAACCCGGTTCCGCTGCGTACCAGCCCAATATTCTACCACTTAGTTACGTCGGTGTTTATCACTTGTTGTTAAACTTGCCATGACCCAGCACCGAAGGCACAGTGGGGCATGCACCCGGGTCCGCTGGGTGCCAGCCCAGTATTCTACCACTGCGCGGCACCGGTGCTTGTGATTTGTTGTCAAACTTGCCTAAGGCAGGCTTGATCTCGGGAAAGCAATTGATTTATTACGACTTAAAAAGCGTTTTACAACAGCGAAATACCAAACAGTCGACGCACAATGCGAATAGCATAACAAGTGGGCCGTCCAATGCTTCAAACGAACACAAAAACTTGTTCTTGTTCCCCTCATAACTGTGGCGCATACCCACTTCAGCCATAATTCCTCATTGTCGTCAGCCACTGCATCGACAAATGGCGCAAAATTCCTTTCAGGTGTTTAGTGCGTACCATGTTTCTCAGCAGAATGATGAAAAATAGCATAGCGAATGCCGGCCTATCGTCCAAAAGTTTATTATTAATTACCTAGTGGGTACCAAGCAAGCGTGCTTGCAATAGGTACCCAATGAGTGTGTTTAAAAGGCTTGTAAAGGCTGGCCTTCTAGCTTTCTCTGTGAATGTACACTGCGCCTACCACGCAGGCCTGGCGTTATTTTTTTCCACGATGCTTGGCAAAAAAAAATAATAATAATGTCAATTAGGCACCACATTCAACGGCAAGGAGCTTGAAAGATGACTTGCCGCTTTTCGTGACAAGATCTTGCCGCAACACGCGTTCATTCAGAATTCGCCTCTTTCTGAGCTCGCAGATAAGGTCGGACGTAACAGACAAGGGGAAATTTTTGCGCACCAAGCGCGCTCATTTTCGTTATGACCATTCATATTCGAACAAAGAGACTATCGAACTACGGGCTGGATTTGCGATGTTTTTAAAGGTACTGCCGTAACTCTTCCATATGAACAAGTTTGAAAAAATTTTCAGCCTAATTTAGTCTGTGGTCATTCAAGCTAATTTACAAAAAACTGGTATCGTCAATATTTTCAGAGTACAATTTATTAATCTAAAGTTTTTTTCTTTATGTAACTTTAGTGTTCGTTTGAAATGTTTTGTTTTACAGGTTTCTTACCACCTTGGGGATGAATTTTTCTCTTTGGTTTTCGGTAGCTTAGCAGAGCTTACAAACCTTAAATGTAGCATGCCTGATGAACGCTTGAGCTAAATAAACGAAAACAATGTTTCTTTTTGTTGATTGCTACGGACATGTTTATTTATAATAATTGTTCTGCAGCCAGCGTAAAAAATGTTTCGAGGCCTTCGAAGGAACTGGCGTACCAACACCTCCTCTTCGAAGTCTCATCAACGGAAACACGGATGAGTTCCTGAAACCGGTGAGTCATACATGCAGAGCCCCGAGATCGACACTTGCTGAAACAATGCGTAGCAGTAGTTCCCCGTAATGGGTTGTTCGGCCCGAGTAGGTACTAGCCTGAGATGAATTTTCACGAGCGCCAAGGCCATTCGAAATACTTGACGGTGTATTTGCAAAATAAATGACGAAAGAAAGAAATAAATATAAAAAATGAGGCTCAGCTGCACACTATAGGTGAGCGTATACTGAGGAAACAGCGAAGCTGACCACGTTTTCCCCCAGCCGCTCAACATCTCTCTATCACGCTTTGTTATAATATAAACTATTTTCCGTAAGACGTCTGAGCGCTGACATGTTGAATGTTAGGTCAATGTGTTCTTGTTTTCGAATGTCCCCTCGTGAATTATTAAGGCCATGGAACAGGGTAGGCTCCAGGAAACCGTCTTCACGCGTGTGCATCTACGCAGCGCTGTTCACTTAAAGAGACATGACCTTGACATGACCCCAACGAAAACATGAGGCAGACGCTAACTATCGGCTGACGAGTCGCCCGTTGACGAAATCGCCAGACCCTATGGTCACACTGGCCCGCTGATGCTGACGACACATCAAAAGACAGCATTTCATCGTAGTGTAGCATGATGAGAGACCGACAACACCAGCAAAACAAATCCGCAGGCCTGTTCTCGGCGTGTCTTCGGGAGATGATTTGCCCCATGTCTTTGCTTCAAACGACCACGAAGCGGGCAAACTTGGGGGAATTTAGAATGCCCTCTCGGAGGATTCCACGGTGTGTGAGTAGGCAGCTCGAGCACCTAACGGAAGTCTTATCTTCGCTTCTCTATGGTGTCCACCAACCCCGTCCCTCGTTACCATGAATTATGGCGGAGGCTGCGCCGCGTAGCCGTAGAGGGACAATGGCAGAGCAGGGAGAATGGCTGAAAAGGAGGTGCAGGTGTGCAAGTTTAGTTGGTGTCGCTGCGTGTGCCCCCATTGTGACTACAGAATTGGCCAACGAAAGAGTATGAGTACGAAAAGGCGCGGGCGGAGTCTTCGAGAGACCACGGGCAGACTGTGTGTTTGCAGTTTACAAAGCCCGACGACAAGAGAAAAGACACTCTTAAAGACAGCCCGCAGACTGAAATCGGTGTCGTGTCTCTCTAGTGTAAACGCGCCTTAAATATGCAAAAAACTTAGCAGCCGAATATGAAGGCCATCAAACCCGTCCATGACATACTCTATACAATGCATGACTATGCTGAGCTTTACTCTGTCCCTTCTCCGACCTCTACATCACTTCTCATCATTCTCACTTACACTTTTCACACATTTCCCTAATTCTAAACCTCATATCAGTCCTCCTTACTCTTTTTTAGCAACCATAGCCTAGTTCAAGATCTATGTTCGCCCCTTTCTTTTGAGCGTGACCATGCGACCGACTAAGCGAAAGCCATATGCACTCCGACAAGCCGTGACAGTAACCAGCTCTGTTGTTAAAGGGCGTTGCACCAAAAAATATATGCAAGACAACATTTCAGCTCATCATTATGCAGGACGCACAAATAGCAAAGCCGTTGGCCAAAGCGATATGAAAACCCACTTACAAAAAAAAAACAAGTTCTCAAAGAATTGAGCCACTTGTATTTCAAGGAAAATTCTTGTGATCATTTTGGACGTATGTTAAAAAAAAACATATTGCATTCGCGTTGCTTGTAGCCTTGGAAAAAGAAGCAAAGGACTTCGTTTGATGCCAGTACTGCGAAAAGTACTATTGAATATTATTTTTTCTGTCTCACTTGTAGAAGCACCTGTGTAGGCTACCACAAAGACTTACTAGGCTGTTTCTAGAATTTTTATTCACTTTTCTTTAGAGCCAGATTGAAAGCTTGGGACGCTGGCTGAACGAGTACGGAGATGTTTTTGGGTGAGTACAGAAAGTTCAGATGTATGCTTTTTTATTTTTACAAAATCGTACACTTCAAATTCATTTTCAATGACTCCAACCAAAGGACTGCTGCGTCGTAGTTGCTAAACGAGGCAGTCTCACCGTCACCATTTATAAAAAGTTTAAACAGTACGTTTCAGCTTGCTTTAGTTTGGATACTTTTAAATTACTTTGCAAAATTTTAATGCTATTTCCAGTCTATATAACTTCAGCCCAATCTGCACCAGATGAAGTTCCTATTGCACATGCCCAAGCTCACTGAAAGCGTCCAACTTGCAAATCTTGAGTCGTCTGAAATGCTACCAAAATACTTAAAACAGTGAATGAAATATGACGATCTAACTCCGTGTCATGCTGTTGTGCCACACTCTGGAATAGGTTTTGCCTGTATTTTAACCTATCTTGTGTGACTACATGATACAATCGCTAAAACAGTGATAATTTATATGTTTTATTGAATTGCATGAATTCTTTGTGGAAGCTGTTTTGTGCTTCTTATCTCGTCTGTTTAGTTTAAATGTATTGCATTATCTATGAAAAGGGATAGTCAGAGCTACATTAAACCAATTACGCCTTTATAAAAATGTGTATACTATTTAAAAAAGCTGTTTTGCCTGTGCGGGCTCTTGAGTACACAGCTATGTGTAGAATTCCGCTGGTGTTTTTGCATCTATTCTGGAATTGAAGTGCTGTAGTTGCAAAAGGGATTCGAACCTGCCACCTCGCTGTAGGCATTGCGACAGGTTCATGATTAAGCTACCGGTGCAAACACACATCTTCAACACGTCATGTACCAAACTAACCGATTGAAACCCGAAAGTTTAGGGCTCAGCAATAAATCAGTTCGTTTTCAGCGTGGAAGATGACGTTTGTTTTCAGCGTTTCAGGTCGTTTTCAGCGCCATAATGACGTAATTCTGGAATGGAAATCAACATGAAAGCTTAAACTACATTTAGCAGTGGCATTTTTGGCAAAAAAAAACTTGTTATCATGACGAGTTGAACAGCAGTCGGTATGCTTAAGATGTCGCCTTTCACTGAGTACAGTACCTTGATTGATATGTGGGGTTTAACGTGCCAAAACCACCATATGGTTATGAAAGTCGCCGTAGTGGAGGGCTCCGGAAATTTTAACCACCTGGGGTTCTTTAACGTGCACCCCTGAGTAGAGTACCTATAGTCAATATATAGTAGAACGTCTGTGCAACGATCGGCTACTTAGTATGTGATGTTTCCGCAGATTAGAAAGTGATAACCAAGTCTCCTCGGCAAGGCTTGGCATGTGCCTTGACAGCCTTACATGATCAATGCTTACCGACACTCATAAACTCAACTTCTTTTAAGGCATAGATTTTACGAAAATACTAAGTATTGTTTGTTCAGTGACAGGACTTTGTGCAAAAGTAATGACTTTATTGTTCTACGCGTGCATGCATTGCAGTTTTTGTTGTTATTTCTATTGGCTGCGTTTTCCTTTTCTTTTTTACATTTTTTGCGTTTTTTACATGGTAGCTCTATTTATGACCTTCAAGCTATTGGTGTGCCCTTGAAGGGATCCAGCAAGTTTCAGACGGGAATACAAAAAGAGAAGACTGCACACGACAAAGTGTTACACTTACAAGTGTAGTTTTTTAAAAAAAAATCGGTATTCTCAACAACACCGCCACACATGCGTAAAAGAACCAACAGCGGCATCATGCCAACATACCAACACGCTCCATGCCCTGCCGCCCCCCCCCTTTTCTTTATCTTAACACGTGCGCCTTAACACGTGCGCTACGTGGCAAAGTTATAGATTCTACAGGTACTGAAATTCTTTATCGTTGATATGCACCGAAGGTTCACTAACAAATAATCAGCACCCTACTTTCTGAAGCAGATAGCAGCGCCAATTTCTCTTTCCAATTTGTTGCATTCCACCCCCAAAGACAAGACAATATTTGAATGGAATGTGCGTTCGGGCAATCAAAGGGCAAGCGCCCTCCTGTGTCAGTTGGCAGCAAATTACAATGTACCCGCATGCACCTATTGATCCATCGGTCTTGTTCTACTTATTATTATTATTATTATTATTATTATTAGTAGTAGTAGTAGTAGTAGTAGTAGTAGTATAGTAGTAGTAGTAGTAGTAATTTGCTTGAGTACGCACGGGAAACAGGGCTGGAACAGGTTGACAACCTAAGAGGCACAACGCCTGCCTGCTGTTTCAAGAAGAGGAAACATGGAGGAAAGTGATATAGACAACACAAACTGGGACTAAAACAAGTAGTAAAATGCTTAAATGCTGATAACCGTGATGAAAAATTAGTTTCGTTTGCTAAAGTTAGCGAGGTTCGATTGGTCAAGTCGCGCCACGCAGGACGTCCTTTTGTGAATAGGCAATCAATGTTCATGCAATTAGGTTCATGAAGTACACATTTCTCGATAAGCAGCACGTGCACGCATAACAAGTGCGAAGTGCCCACAATTATTTATCTTGTTTACCAACTTCTATGTACAGCCAGCAGCAGCTTTAACGCGAACGGTACGCCACGTGTCTTGCAGCAGTTTGATTGACGCTTACACCACGTACGTTTGGGTTCTGTCTCCAAGATGCTAATCATACATTCCGACATACTATCCAAGGCCACCGAGGTATTATCTCGGCAAAAGCGCCCAGCACTTCACGGCTGGCATTAATCAAACTAGCCCTGGCCACGCATCGAAGTGTTCGTGTTAAAGGTGCTGATGTCTGTACAGTTGGTAAGCATTGCTATCAATCTTAATTGATCGTACGGAGTTAACAAGCAAATAATCGGCACAATAGAAGCCCCAAAACAGCACAACATGTTTCGCGAACGGGCCTGAAAGATGCGAAAATTGAAAAAAATGCGTTTCTTCAAAAATGTTCCTCATTTTGATAACAATTGCCCGTTAATTAGGAAAGAAACTTCAACAAATCACCATTTTGTACAGCGAGAACTGAGACTATGAATGAACGCCCATCTGTCAAATATCTAGCCATTTCAAATATTCATTTCATGGCTAGTGAATTGACTGGTCATGACCATCTCATAAAAAGGCCATTCGCTAATGCCCTGCTGCGCCAATTTTGGTATATCTGAAGTCAGGAAAACCAGGACTGCACACAGACAGACAGACAGACAGACAGACAGACAGACAGACAGACAGATAGATAGATAGATAGATAGATAGATAGATAGATAGATAGATAGATAGATAGATAGATAGATAGATAGATAGATAGATAGATAGATAGATAGATAGATAGATAGATAGATAGATAGATAGATAGATAGATAGATAGATGGGCGGATGGATAGATAGATAGATAGATAGATAGATAATAGATAGATAGATAGATAGATAGATAGATAGAAAGATAGATAGATAGATTAGATAGATAGATAGACAGACAGATAGATAGAGATAGATAGATAGATAGATAGATAGATAGATAGATAGATAGATAGATAGATAGATAGATAGATAGATAGATAGATAGATAGATAGATAGATAGATAGATAGATAGATGGGTGGATGGACGGCGTTTCATTGCATCGCTATTTCAAGTCACGACAAATCAAACCAAGATATCTTTTGAGCGAAATTCCAAGACGGCGGGCTCGAAAAATAAGGTATACCATCCTCCACGCAGCGGAATGCAGCTGTTTACTATACGTGTGGCTGACAGTAATTTTACTGCATGAAACTTTCGACGCAAAATTTAGCGCCAAGTTTAGTGACCTCATCCACTCTCATTAATTCGTGTTTGCATGCATTATAAATACCCATTCAAACATTGCCCTCCCACTTTTCGCAACAATCACGCCAGCAGCTTTAAATCCTAATTACTGGAAAGTAGAGAATAAATCCTTAACGGGGCCTATAAGTACGGCGCCTTCAAACTTTGGCGTAAATTTTTTTTAGCAGCTCGCAAACGTGTCTTTTTTTTTTTCTTCAGCACGACAGCTTCGAAAATCATTACACCCATCTGACATGCCCCGTAATGACGCTCTGGATAAGTTGTCAAATGAATCACAATAAAATCTAAAAGTTCGTTAACGAAACACTCGACTTTACAGAAAAAGAAAGAAATGTTTGGCATCTGGACAGGCCTGATTATAGGCTAGTGTCGAAGCAATGGCCTTCGCCCGGAAACGCCTTCCTGGCCCACGTTATCTCGTTAAGGGGCCGTTGCGACGTTGGTAGGGAGTGCAACTTTAAGTTTACAAAAATAACAGAGACGATGTCTGCGAGGAAATGCTGAAGGTCATCCGCCTAAATCTAATAAGGGGCGCCGCTGGAAGCACTAAGGGGGCACCCCGTGCTGTGTTTTAACGCGGCACGACGTGAGCCGAATAAATAAGAAATAATGGCGTTTATCCACCGACCACACAGAAGACAGCCTCGGGCGAAGTTGATGGCGTGCCGCTGGCACAACAAAAATTGCACGTTCTGGCTGTAAGCAATAAGAGTAACCTTTTAGCCCAGCTCTGTCTTTAAAGTAAGAGTTATGTATTTTTTGGAGAATATTACTAGAAAGCACCCCACACACACGCACACACACACACACACACAACGCTGAAAGTAAACAACACAACTGAACAAAAGCAGCTAGACATGTTCTACATAGCGATGATGGCAAGAGAGTTAACTGTGCAATTATTGGTCAAAAAGTGATGCGCATGCGCGTGTGGATGACCAGTCGTGAATATTTCTCTTATGAGAAAATCATTTTCAATTCTTAGTATTTGTTCATCATGACCAGAGGCCTTAAATTTAGCGATTCAAAAAGATAGCCTTGCAACGCAACAAAGAGTGCTTCTATTTTCTTTCATTCCCATGACTAGAGGACATCTGTATGTGGCGAAATCCCTGGGGTAGCCGCAACGGCTTCGTGGCGTAACTGAAGGAAAATCAGACGAACAAAGTCACGCCTGACGAAAAAAAGCTTGTTACCAAAACTGACTCCGAGTTAAATACAAAAGGAACCAACTGGGATTTTTTCGTGAAATTGCAGTATCGCACGGCAAAATGTGTGACCAGCTAATACAAACACACTCTACCGTATTGTGAAGTACAAAACATTCACGGATGACCCAGGCAATTCGCATACGAACGAATCTATCCATTTTTTTTGCTAACCGGTTGATTTCTTCAGATATATTATTTTTTCGCACATTTCCCCTTTAATTATGGCCATTCATCACTGCCACCATCGAAACGTTGCGAGAGATGGCGTATACTGGCACATGCCTTAGAACCCTATTCATCGTTGTTGCTTGTTTTAAACACAATACTCGTGATGAGTGCATAGGTAACTATACTGAAACTCAGCTATGTTTTATTTCGGGCAAACTTTAGACGCCACAATGCTTTAGTGTAAATGGAGAGGGAAATAAATAGCTATACGTTGAATAATAACAGGGGGGAAAGCTAACATAACGGTCATCGCGCAATATTAAGCGCCTCAAAAACTCACCTTTCGTTCGCATAAAGTTGTCGTTCTCTCACGTAAGTCGACTTGCCCACGTGCGCTGGGGAAAAGAAGCGGTGGGATTGCGAGGGCGCAGCGCAGAACGAGTAGAACCTGTCGCTCGTCAGCGCGCGCTTTAGCCATTTTTTCTCGTTTTCGCAGCCGTCGTGAAGAACCAGGGACCTAGCCAGGTGATAGCACACCATGCTCGAGCCCTACCCCCCCCCCCCCCCCCAAATAATTTTTTGCCATTGCATAGGGAGCGAAAAGTGACCATTTTTAGATGTGCCCATCCCGAAATCAAAGAAGTCCCCCCTCCCCCGCTCAAAAAATACTTCTGGTCAATGCCCCTGTGTGAAGCCACCATTCGCTTGCTGACTGCCATTTCTCAAGCAATGACTGACGTAAAACGGAAGAGCCCGCCTGTTCTCTGCTAAGTTGGTGACAATCAACGCAGTCGGCCGTTCAGATGAGAGAGCTGCAGGCACCGATGCGTACAGAGTGCATCTCAAGAAGCTTGCCGAGTTGTGATACTTGAACAAAATGCCAACATCAAGGCAATGATATAGTATATATGTGATTCTGGGGCCCGCCGACTACTCACAGCCGCGTATGACAGTGCTGACTCGCGGCTTAAAAAATACCGCCTTCTATGGCCGACATCCCGCCCTCGCATATATTCCCCACCCCTGCCAACAAGAAGTGTGGCAGTTTGGGCTAGTTGGTACGACATAACGATAGCTATAGCGCGAGAACAGAACGGCAACGTGTCCTTCTTTTCTTTCTGTCGACGTTCTGTCCTCGCGGTATAAGTATCGTTATGTCCTACCAACAAACCACGAAAAAAAAAACTGTTAGGGTTCCTTACGCATTTCCTTTTAGCCGATGTAATAATGGTGCCCCACCTTCTTTCGAAAGGTTTTTGTACCTAACGTGGTTTCGCACTGCCTCCAAGATCTGAGGCTCCTCGCTTAGGTTCGCCTCGCCTCCATGATCGCACTGCATTCGGGCAAGCTACCATTTTGAATGAGGACCTTGTCTTGCGGCTTTACGTGACTTCATACTGACATCTTGATAATTACGTCACAAAATTTTCTTATTTGTGACGCGAATAACACGTGACCGCTTCATAATTTTTTGCAATGACTTGTCATCGACACTGGGACGCTAACGTCGATGGTCGAATTTAGCCTTAGATGACGCCTATGGGGCTGTCATATTAAAAATATATTAACGGGAACAAAATGAGCAGCGTGCAACCCTAAGCCATCTTCCTTGAATTATCGTGAAGCAGTTGCGTGAGTCCAACTCGCGCTCCAGAACTACACAAAATTTTGAAAATGTCATATCGAATTATACGTTATACTCTACTAATTGACTGATTGATATGCGGTGTTTAACGTCCCAAAACCACCATATGATTATGAAAGACGCCGTAGTGGAGGGCTCCGAAAATTGCGACCACCTGGTGTTCTTCAACGTGCCCCCAAATCTGAGCGCACGGGCCTACAGCATTTTCGCCTCCATCGAAAATGCAGCCGCTGCAGTAGGGATTCGATTCCGCGACCTACGATTATACTCTAATAAATATCGTTTTCCAGCGAGTTCGATAGATGCGAGTTGTACTCTAAATCTACGAGAGAGGATAAAATAAGGGAAAGGCAGGGAGATAAACCTTAAATTGGGGCATCCGGTTTGTTACCTTTCACTAAGGAAGAGGGGATTGGGGGAGAAAGATTAGAAAGAAAGCGAGAAGCAAAATAGACCCAAGAAAAAGAAAAAGAGTGAGGGGGGTGCTATAGCCTACTAAATAGGCCACTATCACGCAAAAAGTTCATTAAGGCCTTCACTGATTTTCTGTGCGAAGACATGTCCTGTCAGTTTTCAAGCACTGACTGCTCTGACAAGGGTCTGTCGTCAAGGCGAGCTGTAAGGCAGCAGCTAACTGCCGTCTTTGAACGCTGTAATGAGGGCAGTGGCAGAGAACGTGCTCTATCGTTTCATCGCTGCCAACCAATAACAACCTCTGGTTCATTTCATTGGAGCTAATGTAGACAGAATGCTTTGTTTTCCATCCCAAGTATCTTATAATATCGTCAGTGCAAATAGGTAGTCATTGGCAAAAAATATTCTTCATGTATAGTTATTTTAGTAAAAAAACCTCTAAGCTGGCTCCCACTAAATTACTATAAACATTTCTGCAGTTTCTACCTGGGTGACATTCCCTTCGTAGTCGTCAAGGACCCGGATATGATAAGGGAGATATTCGCCAAAGAATTCAACAACTTCAACCGCCGAGGGGTAAGATGAACTTTTCAGTTGCAGTCCCCGCATTTCTCTCTATATCCTTTTTAGACGTCACCTGTGAAAAACTGACTGCTAATCAACAATGACGAAACACACTCACTATTCTAGTCGGCCATTATTGCATTGATGTGAGTTTTTTGCAAAACATTATCTCAAGTATTTAAAATAAAATATCCATTGACAGGTCATCTATGTCTCGTTTTCGCTTCAACACCATCAAATCATAGGATAGAAAATTAGAGCAACACTGTTTTAGGCTATGTACATTTTTAGCTGTGAGATGTCAGCGTACGTTAAATAACACCAGATGGTCGAACACTCCAGAGCCTTTCAGTACGGAGTCTTTAACGATGATGTGCTGGGTTTGACACATATTATAATCGACTCCCTTGCTATGTTATGCTTGCAAGTCTAAGCTATACTTTTCCTCCTCTTCTCACTTTCCTTCCTCCCCGTCACATCTCTCCTCCTTACATTCCATTTTTCTCCTTCGCACCTGTTGCTATACTGTACTGCACACGGCTATGCTATCTCCTACCTTCTGCCCCGCCACGGTGGTCTAGTAGCTAAGGTACTCGGCTGCTGACCCATAAATCGCGGGATCGAATCCCGGCTGTAATGGCTGCATTTTCGATGGAGGTGGAAATGTTGTAGGCCCGTGTGTTCAGATTTTAGTGCACGTTAAAGAACCCCAAACGGCCGAAATTTCCGGATCCCTCCACTACGGCATCTCCAATAATCATATAGTGGTTTTGGGACGTTAAACTCCGCATGTCAATCAATATCTCCTACCTCCTGTCACAGAGCGTAAGGTGAAACCCTCGCAAATATGGCACCAACAAACACGCAATGAATACTGCTACTCCGTATGTAGTGATCAGTGAGCCTCGTAATCGATGTAGTGAGCCTCGTAATCTGACGAGAAAAACGTCAACACTACCTTTCCCCTCCCCCTTAACAGGGTAACCTATGCCTACACCTCTGTACCTCTGTACACACCAACCAGTGCTCTAAGAACGCGAAAGGCAGAGCTCTTAGCTTGATCTGTGAACGCGGCTTCCTCGCACCGTTGGCAGCTCTCACTGCGTGTGATACATCACTGCAAGACTTTAGCCTGTCGACGTCTTGGCCCCTCTGTACTATTTGTTGCAACACATTTATTAGCAAGCGCTATCGCCCTCTAACCAGTAGGCGGCGAAGATACACCATTAGTGCCTTTCGAAGTGGCAGCACGCTATTGAGGAGTCATCAGGCGAACATGGCGGGAAAGGCAAAGCGCGTACAGTACCGTCCCTTGTTAAGTGAATACTCGAATGAGGACCTTTCATATTGCTCGCCTCCTGACAGCAAGTGTATCTGGAAACAGTTTTCGTGCGAGGCATTAGTCCGCCAAAAAGAATCAGCGCAATGAAATACTTGGAGAACAATGTTAACGTAAGCCACTTTGTTCTTTGTCATTGCGATAGGGACAATCTCAGCTGTATTTTGCCGTTATCTTCAGTGGTCACTGTCATTCATCGTATATGTATACGTGTATATATATATATATATATATATATATATATATATATATATATATATATATATATATATATATATATATATATATGAAAACCAAGAAAGAAAAAAATACTCCAGGAAAGGACTCCGGCACACGAAATCAAACGTGCGACTTCTTGCTTGTGAGTGCAGGCCGTTAGCCACTGAGCCACGAAGGAGCATCTCTAACAACGTTCAAACTTCAATCTCTTTATATCAATCGCTTATCGCTGGCGATGGCGATATCGGGGTAACTATCGTGTTTTCAGCATTACCAGCGAGATGGCGCAATGAGCGTGCGTCGCTATATTGTCATGACGTGGCAACGCACGCTGATGCATTCATATCCCACGCGTACTTTGACCCGCGGGAAGGGAGGGGGGGTAGACACTCATTTCATGCGTGCGCGCACCTATCCCGCAGTTGGGAGAATGTTGCGCCTTGTGTTTTTCACCAGAAGGATTCTGCTGAAGTTACCGGGCGCACAAAGGTCATCGCACTCGCTGCACAGTCTTCATTTTCGAAAAGGACGCACTTTTTAGTCACAGCAAACTAACAACTGAGACGCTTATTCCCATTCATAGGTACCTGTGAGTACATTTCGTGCGCCATTTTTGCGTTAGAAATGCGGGGCATGTTTCGATCTACATGCCATTCTTCGCGTGACATGCTAATAATTGCTTCGTCTTTGTGCCCAAGCTTTGACTTTTGTTTATCAAGAGTGCGAAATCTGGACTATCCTTGCACGCAAGTGTTCCCCTTAACAGTGGACCCGTCCGTGCATCATCCTCAAGCTGAATCATTGACCGTAGAGTTTCATTAATTTTTGCACTGAAAGCATTCGTTGCGCTCAAACTACCGAGAGGGAGCCATCTCGGTACCCATTAGTGTCGCGACACCGTACTTTTATTCACAGCTTCTTAGCAACACGGTGACACCACACTGCCCCTATCACTCTGAGAGATGGAGGTGTGTGAGTGACAAGGTACGCTCACAAAGCCTTCTGCATAGGTTTCTCTCGCGCAGAAAGTATAGCGCCAGGTACCTGTAATCACGAATCGAGGGTCCGTGGGTTCTATTATACTAGGCTGTCCAAATCAACAAAACATTTTCTTCTGCTCTTTTTTTCGTTTTTTGTGTATGATTTACCAACGTCACCACCTGAAAAAAAAAATGATACCGGTGATGTTTTGGTTGACTTGTGCACAAGAGAATATCGCCTTTAAATATCAGTTTGTACGTTGGTAAACTTGCTCTGTCTTTATGCGTGGAAATGCTTTCAATATTCACCATTAAGGCTATCTATTTGAATTTCTAGGTCCACCCATGACTCGTGGACTGCGTATAATTTAGCCGTCACCACGGCAAGAGCTCACTTCTCTGCAGCTTTTCATTTCCCCGCTCTCTCTTTCAGCACCTCTTGCGAGCCCACGAGTTGGACCCGATTACGCGGCGGAACTTTGTGCTGGTCGGGGGCCGCCAGTGGAAAACGACGAGAACGTGCATGCAGCAGTTCTTCACGACAGCGAAATTGAAAGTGGTTGGCCGTTTTCTATCTCTTTCATGCCTAGATCACTGCTTTTTACGAGTGCATGACCCGAACGCGGCGTGCTCTCACATGCCTTTACAAACTCAAATGTTTTCTTCTAGTGTAACAGATCTTTTTTCTCCTTTCCCATCTCAAGTTGCAAATCATGCGCCGCCAGTGTAAACCGCACACCATTTCTCGTGTGACTTCTCTTGCTCTCTAGATTCTCTTGCTCTCTCTTTCTTGCTCGAACCGATGGATGATTCTACCTTCGCTGTTGGCGTGCGCTCACTTGGCTGAGCTGGTATGCTGTCGCGTGACGTTGCGGACGCTGCAGATGATAATATTTAGGTTTACTTGCTCAGTTCGCATATTCAAGACGTTTTAATGGTTATTTGTTTTATTATTTGCTACCCCATAATATGTCATATGTGATAGTTATATCTGTAAGTGATAGTAAATATCAATATGTGAGAGTAAATATCAATACGTGATATCAATATGTGAAAGTAAACGATTTACTGAATGTTGCTGGCAGATTTTTTTATATAAACTGACAACACATCGAACTTGTTCAAAAAGACGAAGTGTTAAAGTGTGAAGTACCATAAGCAACAAGATCGTGGGTCGCTGACAAAGGCTTAGAGGAACCAGGGTTATTCTTTTTAATAGCGGAGCAGAAGAAGCTCCGAGTACACATAGCGCCGTTTTTTGACCGCATAAAACTATCAATGTGGGGCAGAGCGACGCTAAAAGGAGAGAGAAGTCGACTATAGCTATTAGCTGTGCAACGTAATTGTAGCAGAGATGAAGGAGAGTAGGAGGACAAGAACAGCAAGAAAGAAGGCAGGGACGTTAACCAGGCACATTTCCGGTTTGCTACCCCATGCTTTTGGAATGGGAAGGGGGAGTATAAAGATGAGAGAGAGAGGTAAGAGAAGATAAGAGACAAAAGGAGGATTGTCAGTCAATGCGCTGACGCGTATGCAGCGGTAGCACTACACAAAGTTTAAAGGTGTTCAGATAGGCCTGTACACTCCTCAAAAAGAACAAGACGGCTTTGACTGCCTTTTGAGCCGACGAAAGACGAGAACGGTGCTCCAGTAGCATCTGCATAGAGAGTAGCCAATCATTCAATTGTCGCAATGCGTCAGAAACCTTCTGCCTTTCAGAAACTTATTGAGGGCAACGCCATATCAGATGGTCGATATCTTCTTCGGTACCGCGGATGTCGCATTTCGCATAAGTCGGTCAATCCAATGAGGGTTGTGTATGCATTTGTGAAGGCAACCCCCAACCAAAAGTGACAAAAAAGCGAGGCTTCACATCGACGAAGTCCCGATGGAGGTCGAAGTTTCAGTCGAGGGTTTATTTGGTAGAGTCTTGTATAGCTTATACCTGGGGTGCTCCACTCTAGCAGACACAGACAACGTGCCAGGTGACAAAGTTGCTTTGCAGCGTCTGTCTTTAACAAAGGAATCGGAAGGGTGGGCTCTTCTTGGTGGAATGTACGAACCGCGTTGTCTGTGGAATCATTGCCACTGATCCCACCATGACCAGGTAGCCACTAAACATTGGCCTCGTGGCCTGTTTCCGTGACGTGGTGAAGAAGCTCGACAACATTGTATGTTGACTGTTCATGGCAACCTCATCCAAGGACGGACTGTATGCTGTGTAAGGCCAATTTCGAGTCGGTAAACACAGCCTATTTACTCGGTCTCTGGGATTAGACGTACTCTAGGGCGCCAGGCAAAGCCACAAGTTCTGCGCCATAGACGTGTTGACGTGAGACGGCTTGATTTGCAGGTGTAATTCCTCTAGTTGGAATCTCCACTGCACCACCAGAACTAGATGCTGTGGTTGAATCATCCGTGTATGTATGAACGTGCTTATTGTACATTTCGCGCAAAAAGGGGCAAGCTCAATTGTGTTCGGGCTGACGATGGCAAATAAACTTTTTCTGTAATCCTGGATTTGAAGGACATACTTGCGGTAGCGTCAGGCACCACGGAGGATACACGAATTTCTCCGCAGGCGTAAAACCTGACATAAACGATTCACGATGCGCACGTACAATTTCATTGAATTTCGTGCGGGGCCTCTCAATATCGAGGGTTGACAAGTTGTAGGAAGGATTCCAAGCATGTTGCCTGAAGTACGTACGCATCGTTTAAATGGTGATGAGCGTCATGATTGAGTGGTCCTGTGTAATGGCAAGGGTTTTAGACGTCGATGCACAGCGTGGTAAACCAAGGCATGTTCTCAGGGCCTGGGCTTGAATATGTTGTGTGTGCAGGTTAGTTTTTCACGTGTTAGATGTAACAGGTATGCTGTACCACAAGAATTCAATAAATAATACCTTATACAGCTGTAATATAGACTCGACAGACAATCCCCAACTTTTCCCAGCAAGAAACCTGAATAAGTGACACATGGCGGTCAGCCGCTTTTTCACGTAGTTTACGTGGGGTGTCCAAGACAAGTTTCGGTCGATTACGACTTCCAAGAAACTGTGACTCCAGCTGCATGACACCAACTGCCCGTTAATTGATATGCCGTAAGCGGATATTGGTCTTCTGGTGAAAGCCACGACTGCACACTTCCCACTTGTGATTTCGAGCGCTTGTTTGCGTAGGTGGTGCGATGTCACTGATGCTGCCTTCTGAAGTCGAGCGCGAAGTTGAAGTCGAGTCACACCTGATGTCCAAACACAGATGTGATCAGCATAAATGGAAAGTCACACGCTGCTTGGTTGCTTGCCAACTAGTCCCGTGAGTGTTAGGTTGAACAACGTCGGGCTTAGCACTACGCCTTGCGGGACTCCTCGGCTACAGTAATACTCGGGGGTCGGGCCATTCTCTGTCTGCACGTGAAATGATCTATTCTGTAGGTAGCTCTGAACCCAGGGATATATCTTGCCACCGAGTCCCACTCCTTCTAATGCGCTGAGAATGGCTTCGTGGGTGATAGTGTCGAATGCCCCTTTAACGTCAAGAAACAGAGCAGCAGATAACCGTTTTCAGGCCTTCTGGTGCTCTACATATGTGACCAAGTCAACTACATTGTCAATTGGTGAGCGGCATCATCTAAGCCCGGAGATGGCAGCACGATACATTTCGTAGAACTCTAAGTAACATTCCAGACGCGTCAAAATCATTTTTTCTATAACTTTCCCCACACAACGCGCGAGGGAGATCGGGCGGTAAGAGCGAATGTCCAAAGGGGACTTGCCGGCTTTGAGAAGTAGGATCAGGCGACTTGACTTCCATTCCTTTAGAACCATCCAGTTTGCCAGGAGTCGTTGTACAGCAGCAAGACTGCCTTCCGAGCTTGATCTCCTAGATGACGCAGAGCGCGGTTGGTGATTACGTCATGTCCTGGCACTGAAGAACGTCTACACAAAGTAGGCGGTGCCTTTAGTTCTTCCGTTGAAAACGAACACTCCGCTCGGAGATCACCTGAGGATACAGAACAGTTAGGCGTCTTCGTCTCAATTGAATTTGCCCCTGCGAGGCAAATTTAATTGGGACTAATTCTGCTTTGACAATTTTGCTTCGACAAAAAGATTATGTGACGTCAATCTCTTCGCAGCGTAAGTGATGTGCGATTTAAATGGGTAGCGCTGAATAATGTACGATGACCCCGGACAGTTTTCCAGATTAGTGCCAGACGCTTTCTGTAATCCAAAGACTCGCAAAAAGATACCCATCGTCGCTTATCCAGCATGTCCATGTGACGCTGTATTTTCTTTTGTGTGCGTCTGGCCACTCTCAGATCCTCAAATGACTTCATGCGTTTATAACGTCGTTCTGCACAACGACGAATCGCTTGAAGTTTCACGAGTTCAATGTCCATATCACTTTGAGAGGAGCTCACCGGAAGTGAACACGTGGTAGACTGTAGGGCACTCTTCATTGAGTCCTCTAGGTGGAAGTGTGAGCCGCCAACACAGTCTTCTATGGTTAACTTGTATTTTCGCCAATCGGTGCACTGGACGGCTCTGAAAGACTTGAGACTTGGAAAGCTGTCAATCTTCAGGTATGTTGGGATGGGGTCACTACTCCTTGTTTCTAAATCGGAAAATGAGTGCACTCTTCTGGCGAACGAGCATGAGACGAAAGGAATGTCCAGGCAACTACTATAGGCCGATCTACGCAGATAAGTATGGCTGCCGTCATTCACGAGGATAAGTTCACATTCAGAAGCGAAAGACACAAACTGTCTACCTCTAGTGTTGGCCCTGGAGCTTTCCCTTAAGTAATGGTGGGCATTGAAATCGCCAGTTATCACCCATGGCTGGAGAGTTGAATTCGAAATTCCACGCAAACGCTCGTGGTCTAGACGACATGATGAAAGTAATTAGGCTCCGATTGTGAATGTGGTGGTCTTGTTTTTAACTGCTAGGCAAACGTACTGGTTTTCTTCGTCAGAGGGTACAGGGTGATGAGCATAAGTTAAGTCGCGCCGTATGAACACAACAACCTTGCTGCGCTCTCCGTGGGTGGAAGACACAAAGCACTCATATACAGATAGTCTCATGCGAGCTCACAGGTTCGGTTCACAAGTCACAATTACGGAGAACTGGTTCGTGAATACATATTGCCGGAAGTTGGACATACGCGCCCTAAGCCCTCTGGCATTCCACTGGAGGAAATGTGCGTTCTTGACCTCCTCTCGAAAGGATAGCATGTCATGGGCCGTAGATTTACCTTACAGCTGCAAGCCTCGGACTCTAAGTGTTCAGCACCCGGAGTGCGCTCTGCGCTGACGAGGTGTTCATGTTGCTTGGGAGCTTGCGCATTGCGCTCATAAGTGTGTGCAACGTGGTAATGAACTGGTGATGCTCAGTTGTCTTTGCATCAGTGGTTCGCGTGAGGGCATCGAGGTTGGCGCGATTCGATGCACCTCTGAATCAGGCTGTGTTCGTGGAAGGGAAGGCCACTCTTAACGAGGTGGGAGTGTTGACCCTGCTTTTGTTTTTGGTATATCCGTTTTCGCAGAGCTTGGTGATCGGTGGTAAGATGTTTTTACGGGATATGGCGTGTCTATATAGGCAGATGTCACGTTTCGTGATGATCTTCTGTGGTGATGCCGACGTCGCCGGACAATAGCAGCAGCTTCTCTGTGCGTTGAATAGTCACGCACCATGTGTTTCAGCACCACGCGCTCATTTCGCACTCGCGGTCTATCTTTAGACGACGCTTTATGAGCGCCGTGGCTGTTGGAGCTTTTGAACGCAGTTGCGTGGCAGGTGTCTTCTGAATGAGGTTCGGCACACCGCGGGCACACAACAATGCTGGTACATACTTCTTTTATATATCTCATCTTGAAACATCTGCAACATTGTAGGGACTTCGGTATGTATGGACGGACCTGTTGGCTAACGTGGCCAACTTTGACGTGTGGTGGAAGAGTGTCTCCCTCAAAAACAATCATCAGGCAACGCGACTGAGCGAGCCTTGCGATGTGCTTAATGAGGATGTCGTCTGTAATTGGCTTTATCAAGATAGGAAAATCGTCAGCAGGAATGTAAATGTCCACGTCATAACTGACGCCAACACTGCCCTTACAGTCAGTGGGGATCACTAATTTAACTGTGACTCTGTCGATTTCCGTGATGTTCTGTAGGCTTTGCAGCGCACTACGGGATAGAACATCGACTGCCAGAACATTCTTTCATGAGTTGGTCCTTACGTCTTTATTATCATTTGGAGCGAGTACTTCGAGATATGCAGAGAGAACTTGCCTGTTAAGTCACCCTAGGTTAGGTAAAGGGTTAGCTGAAGAGTATAGTGTGTGGTCAACGCTGCGGGGTAGCCTGCTGAGTGGATGAACTGACCGTCGACGATGTTCGTAGCAATCTCCTTTTTGCATTGCGGCTCATGAAAAATTCATGTGCCGTTCAATAACACCAAATACATTGGAGCACTTCCGTTGCCGTATCATGCAGACACATTGGGATGATATAATGGCTGATGAAGATACAAACAACGCATATAACAACTTTATTGCAACATTCAAGGAACTTTACTTCGAATCATTTCCTCTCGAGGCACATCACAGGTCGGGCAAATTGCGGAAGCTCTGGATAACAAACTACCTTAAGCGTCAGATAAGCCATAAAAATAAACTTTACCAGCAGTTCCTCAAAACACGTAATGCGGACCTATGGGTTGAATACAAGGCTCTTAGAAATCGATTGAATAAAGAAAAAGAAAGGGTGAAAAGAGACTACTACAGTCGTATTTTTGACCTGGAACGTCCAGAGCAACGTAAATCCATGTGGAAAAAGTTAAATGAAGTATTGAACAGAGGAGCCCCTGCCACAAAAATCGATAATCTTGAAATAGATGGAAGGATATTAAATGGCATCAACCTTGCTGAAACATTTAATGACTTCTTTGAGAAAATAGGAAATGCGAGCCAGAGCGTGCAAACAACATTTGACATTACTCACTTATCAAACACACTGTTTCTTAAACCGACTTCCACATCTGAAGTAATTACGCTTTTCGGTAAAATAAAAAATAGTCGGAGCTGTGATCCTGGTGGCATACAAATGCGACCAATAAAGTATGTATTAGACCTCATAGCGGAAGTGCTAGCACATGTGTACAACTTAGTGTTATCAACAGGTATTTTCCCAACCAACATGCAACTAGCGAAAGTTACTGCAATATTTAAGTCTGGAGATATAAACAACTTAAGCAAGTATCACCCAATGTCTATACTACCAGTTTTCTCAAAATGCCCTGAAAAAATAGTAAATGATAGAATGGACAGTTTCTCGAGGAATCACAATTTAATAACCGAATGCCAATATGGTTTCAGAAAGAAACTTTCAACAGAAAGTGCCTTATTAGCACAAAAAGAAATCATACTTTGCAATATCGAAAAGAGACTTCTGACACTTGCATTGTACTTGGACTTTAGTAAAGCCTTTGCTCGTGTATCTCATGAACTGTTACTACATAAATTAGAATGCTATGGATTTAGAGGAATACCACTCAAACTTATGCAGTCATATCTGAGTGCGCGGTCTCAGTATGTTGAAATAAATGGCTTCAAATCGCTCACACAACCAATTAAAACCGGAGTCCCACAAGGTAGTATCCTGGGGCCTGTATTATTTTTATACTACATAAATGATATAGTCAGAATTTGTGAAAATTGTAACTACATAATATATGCTGATGACTGCACATTATTTTTTACTTGAAAAGATTTCAGTACTCTCGAGGCTTTAGCGGCCAACACATGTTATAAGCTTCGTGAATGGTCTACCAAGGACAATGTAATGTTAAATGAATCAAAAACAAAATGTTTCCCTTTCTGAGCTCTCGGCATATCCCTGCATGTACCAAATCATGTTACCCTAGGCCCCTACAAAATTGGAGTGACCAAATCCATCAAGACGCTTGGAGTAGTTTTTAATGAACATATGTCCTGGAATGAGCATACAGACTACATTTGTTTAAAGTTGAGACGCGTGGTTAGCACTCTAAATCGTTGTAGACGCCTTTTGCCCGTTACTGTAAAGCGGCTCTTCTATCAGGCTCTTTTCCATGCCCACTTGAACTACTGCGCTCTAGTATGGGCAAACACTACGTCAACAAATTTAAATAGGCTAAAAATACTTCAGAAAAGAGCGATCAGGGCAATAGAAAACATATCATACCTTGAACACACAGGACAACTCTTTGCTAAACATAAAATTGTTAAAGCAAATGACATATACAAATTCAGGTTGTTACAATCCTATATTAGCGCAAACAGAGGAAAACTCGACGCATTCCTGACACATGCGAATCTTGAACATACACAAACCATTTACTTCCATCGATATAAACCCCCGTGGAAAATTCCGTTATCTCGCACCAAATACGGCACCCAAAGACTTAGCCAGATGCTACCTACTATATTCAACTCATACGAGCAGCAAGACATAAAAATTGACACATTAATCAATATCGATGTGCAAACACTATTCTTGTAGATTTGTATTGTTTACATAGGTCACTCTGTATTGCTTTGCATCATTTATTGTGTGCCTTTATATATTTTTTCCTTATTATTTTTTTGTGTAACCTCATTGTGTACCTTTCTTATGTACCAAAGTGATGATACATACTCTGTGAATTACTGTGCTCTTGTGTTTATGAAATATTCCTTTTTGTTTGTATACCTTGGCCTGTCATTTACTTTGTCTTCTGCTTGTATTGTTTCCTGCTTTATAATATTAGTTTTTTTTTCATTTTATTGTATTTCGTTTCACCCTGTCATTGCTGACGTAGGGTGCACGGTGCTTAGTCAAGCTGCAATAACTGCAGCATTTTTGCCGTCTCCCCAATTTCGCCATTGTATCTGTTTTGGTGAAAATAAATAAATAATTAAATAAAAAATGATGACTGTGTAGTCGTCATGCGATGACTCGATGCCGTCTCAGTAGAGTGGGTGGAAAGGCACATAAAGTTTCCTAAAATTAAGTAGAGGGTACTCTGGAGCTCTGATCATTCAGCAACCATGGGAATGAGAGTTAGTACATGGATTCGCTCAGTCTTCATACTTGCGGGCGGCAAGTCGCACTTGTGGATTCGTTTATTGCTGTGTTTCAGTGTTGTTTCAAGAGAAAGAACGAACCTTTTTGAACTTTTTGACCCGATTTGAAATTGTAAGCCAAAAAAATTGGGGTGGTCAAGGGCGAATGCCGGACATTTGCCGATCGTTATTTCGTGACAAAGAGCTTCAAACTCCGCGATGTCAAAAAGAACGTAAAGAACGAAGACTTGGCCAATCCGTGTACTACCCAGCATTTCGATGGTGGTTGCTTAAGAGCTATGCGTTGCAGATCCTATAGACACTAGCGCCAGGGTTCCCTGTAGTGTGTGTACAGGGAACTCTATGGAAAGGCGAAGTGAGGTTTAGCGGGAGTGAAGGATGAGGGGATAGCGCAAATCATAACATAGTTGTGTACAAGTACAGTGTAGTACAGTACATAAGCCTCAGAAACTCGAGTAATTTGGGTAGTTTCTTTTGCATGTTTAAAATACTGCGCTACAGTTACTGGAACAAATGAAGTTAGGGAGGATACACGTTGCGAGGTGAACACGACAAGAGCAATTGTGGCCGCTGAATACGCATTCCTCCTCGCACCTCTAATGTCAAAGCCGGCACTTTTGTTTTTTAAATCTCCTGACTACCTGCTGACAGTTGTGCTGTGATATATACAACTCTTGTTTTTTTCCTTACCTGAAAAGCTGCTTTGTTGATGACTGCTGCGTCTCTAACCCTAGATAGTTATTTATATCTTTCTTATATGCTCTACTTCCATATTTTATGCACGCTGCGCCCATGTAGCAGCAGTGGCTTTTACCTAAACCTTGTAACTGTTTACCATACCTATCGCGATGCTTTCTCTATTATCTGGTGCAAAGTCACTTCTTGCCTGGGTAATGCCCTATTGTTTATCAGTCACAAAGCAGTTCCATTCGCCTCATGTCATGCGCATGTGCAATGTTCGAAAATTGAATACCATTTCTTTTGATTTCAGGTGATGCCAGCTCTACACGATGCCCAGCGCGAGTTCGTGAACATTCTCGGCGAGTGCGCCGACAGTGGCGCTGAAGTGGACATTGGTGAGCGCTGCGAGCGCCTCACATTTGACGTCATCAGCAAGAGCGCGTTCAACCTGGACACCCGGGTTCAGCGCAGTTCGGAGAACCCGCTCTTCCAGAAGGCGGTGCAATGCTTCCCTGGGATCATGAGCGGCTTCATGTACAGCTTGAGTCGTGAGTCTCCAATCGCCTTCAGAACAAAAGCTCCGCCGCTCGGCTGCGTTGAACACTCTCATGAATAGGAGGACTTTCACTTGGAGGTCTCGTAATGACAGACAGTCGCTATTGGCAGGTCTGATGTCAATAAGGACAGCCCCTGCTATTTTTAGCTCGTAGCTTCTTTTGGAAACTTTTTGGTTTTCTAGAGCAGAGGTGTTCCTAGCCAAGACTTGCTCGTTCATTGACAGCGTAGCACTGGCCTTTTGGCCTTGCAGTGGGGTGAGAACAGGACTCGATAGGAAGGAAAATTTGTGCGCCATGCTCAGATGGACGAAGATGAGGCTTGATGCGAAGGGTGAGTCAGTGAAACGCAGGCCGAAGCGGGAGAGCGTTGAGGCTCCGTGGAGAGGATGAACCAGTCAGAGTGGCACAAGTGTGTGTGAGGGAGCACCTTACGAAGGGAGCACCGGCACCGCTGTTTCGATAGTGTTGGCGAAGTGTAACTGGTCGCATTTTTGCCTTTCGTTACAACCGTGCTCAGCGCCGGCTAGTCTTGCAGGCAGTCGAAATGCTCGGCCTATAGACCATTACACCCAGGCTCCCTGGGTGCCGCCATGGTCCTCTCTGTGCTGTTGTTAGTGCACGTGAGACTCCCTCCCCCAAATAAGCACTGCCGATGCTGTGACGTGAGCTTCTGCACTCTCGTGGAACAGCCCAGAAAAGAGAAAATCCTCCTCTCCGCAAAAAAGGTCCATAGTTCGGGGCTAGAAAATGAAAGTATATTACTACTACTACTACTACTACTACTACTACTACTACTACTACTACTACTACTACTACTACTACTACTACTACTACTACTATGTCTTTTTTGGTCAGCCAAATGACTCCCTTGTACGCATTTGCAGTCCAAGGTTCCCTAGGTGTTGCTGCTTCCGGGCTTCAGCTTAACGAGCGTTTCCGCTTTTGGTCTCCTAAGTTGACTTTCGGTGTACTGCTTCCTGGGCCGATGTATTTGTCTTGTTTAGACTTCCTTTCGGCTGTTGTAAATGAACTGCAAGGAAAGCCTAGCTTCAAAACAAGTCCCAATACATGTGTTTATGAACATGGTGGACATTAAAAAGCGTTGCAGAAAAGGAGGGGGGATTGGCGAAACTGTCTGCGATGACGTGCCACGTCGTACGCCTACATGCTTTGCGTTGAATACAAATAGGCGAAAGTGTTTTGCGGCACGTCAAAAGGGGTTGCGCGATCTGACGCATGCTCCCTCCTTCGAAATTTCTACCGACCCAGCTAACTGCGGGACTGGGAATATGAACAAAGAACGGGAAGATAAAATACTCCAATAAATAAAACAAACAGTCACAATGCGGTCGCAAGGGCGATGAATGAGATTTGGTGGCTACATATTGAAATAACATATGACAGAAATCTATCGCCTCCTTTGACAGTCAATCTGGATGAACTCAACAAAACGTCGGCGTAAGAAAATGCAACCAAGTGCAGCAAGCGAATATACCTTCACGCGAATTAACCTTCACTTTATCGCGAAATCAAGCGGAGAGACGAGCACTTGCGAAGATGCGAGACATGTGCTAATGCATATTAAGGTCAGCACGCGTGAGCGATCTGGCTCATCGGCCATCCCACCACTGATACGTCATTACAGCGCACTTGCATACTGGTTTTAATGCAGGGTACAATTTCACAAACAATGGACACTGATATAAACTTTTTCAAGCTCTAATTATTCTTTTTATTCTCTGCAACTGTTTTCTTACAATGGGAGTTGAACAGAATCATGGTAGTTAAAGAAAAAAACAAAAAAACAAGCTCACGATCTGCAATCGCAATAATTGAGCCATTCAAATTTTTATGCAATCAATATTGTTTTTTATTATTCTCATTTTGATATACTTCCACGCTATCGAATAGTACGCCACCATCAAAACACGAGTTTTTTTTACCTACCTCTGCTGGGTGAATGAAGCTGGCACAGCAAATTTAAAGGAACGCCGTGAGAAATTTCGTAATATCTTGATTACCACATGAACTGGTTCCCTTGAGTCTATGAGGTTGCCAGCGTATGTAGAATACATGATAAATATGAGTTCTATCGAAATAATATTTTTGCCTGTCAGGTGGTTGCTGCATGACCAACAAAATTTGATACATCGAATTAATCAACAAAGATTAGGCCTGGAAAGATTATACATAGTTAATTAAATAAAATGTTGATTACTAATCAACATCATCTCTTCATTAGTGAATCTCTACCATTGGACATGGGCCTACAAAATATTCCACAAGCTCTTCAGCTGCTTCTTTACGAACCCGCTCTCTGAAATGACCAAGTACGCGGCCGAGCTTATCAAGTTCCGTCACCAGAATCCGCAGGTAAGATTCTCGCCTCATCATTACTTTTAGCCTAGGTAGGCTCACAGTTTTACCCACCTCTACTCACATGTATTCAAAGTAGTAGCGTTTATACACCACCACGATATTTCTTTGATCGGAGGAGTCAGCTTGGAGAGGGAGTGGGTTGGGGTTGTCTCCACCTCTACCCGCAAACTCTGTAGTCCTCCCTGTGTCATATTTGATACGTGAAATATATTGCCTTACAAAAGGCAATGAACTTGTCGAAGCGTGATCGAAAAACAGTTATTGAAGATTTATCATCTTAATGAAGCTTCACTGAAGTACATATTTATTAAAAGTAGCTTATTTTTACTAATACTCATTTAGTTCTGCCACTAAGTAAATTTCATTCCCATTTTTTTTTCAATGAACTCATTCAGAACAGTAAACGTAGTGAGCGTTCGCTTAACGTGCCCAAAAATAACTTGTTTTTGTGTAGGTTCAAATAAAATAGGATAAATAAACAATACAATACAAACACAAATCGAATAACACATAAGTAAATCAAGTTAAAAGAGCGAATACGTGCAGACAAAAATAAATCAGTGCTAAATGGAAAGAATAACAAGAACAGGCGGAAATACTAGAATGGGAGTTAAAAATATTGAGCAATATACATACACGAGTATGCGGAATTCCTCATCAAATAGAGAATAAGGAAGAATCGGAATATCGTGAAAAACAGCATTAACCCAGCGCAAAACTGAGGCAAGAAAAAAGACTTTGGACTATGAAAAACAGTAACATATTAACATAATAATAATAATAATAATAATAATAATAATAATAATAATAATAATAATAATAATAATAATAATAATAATAATAATAATAATAATAATAATAATAGTAATAATAATAATAATAATAAAAATAAAAATAATAATAATAATAATAATAATAATAAACAATACTATTGATTGCTATGTGGGGTATAACGTCCCAAAACCACCACTTGATTAACAACAATAATATTATTAGTAATAAATGTCTTTACTTTGCACAACACTGTAAGCGTCCGTATCCTACTTTATAAGAACGTCATTCTCTTGGTCGATCCCAGAAATGTGTGTCGTCGGGACTAAAATTTTCGATTTCATCATCCTGAGTTGATATACACTGTGAATATACTGTGAGCTACAGTTGATATACACTGTGGCGCGTAAGGTCATATTATGGCTGAAGTATCCGGGTGTGTGCCACACGGGGCCATGAGGAAGAGTTTCGCGAAGTACTCGGCGGGCGTATCATGTTGTTCGTGTTGACGCCTATACCTTCATGTTTGTGGCACACTCCTACCCTTCGGCACTCATTTTGGTCTATATGAAGCTAAGAAGACGGCCATGAGTTGCGCCTTCACCTAGCCGGCTTGATGTTCAGAAACAGGGCAAGTGCATTTGGTTCCTAAAGAGGCGCATAGCATTTATTAAGTTATGACCACAGATTTGATTATTATAATCAAGAAAGATGTAACGAATGCCACTCTGTTCGCTTGTACAAATATGCCGAAGTTCAGAACAAGATGAAGTATACAAGATCAGAAATGTTTGTAATGTGGCTGTCATGGAGCCAATGTTCCAAGAAGTAATCTTGTTTTCCTAACGCAGGTTGCTGTTTTAATACGGCACTAGCCACAGAAATGTTGTCTCCTGCTAGACACACGTTAGATATTTCCACACACTGATGCAGTTTTTCCATCTCATGCGCAGTTCACTGTAACCTGTGCCACTTCTGTAACCCTTTCATTTCGAGTGCTGTGGCGTCAGCGTAAACACTCGTTCACACATTTATTTTTCACCCCAATCTTCTTCCTTTTAAGATTCATTGTGCAACACGCTTGCTGTGATTCCTCGCAAACGTAGGTGGACGTGCCAGACATGGCTCAGCTTCTTCTGGACGATGCGCTAGGCAAGAACAACGCAGAAACAACAAATAAAGAAGCCCAGCAAGCACTTCCCGGTAAAATCAATCGATCCATCAATAATTTCAATTGTAATTACGACTATACACGGTACATTTACCAGTTGTGGAAAAGCACTGACTGAACAAACATTTATAACACAGCTCCCATCATTTTTTATTAACTTCTATTTATCATTCCTCCTTTGCCGTAAAAAGTCAGATCGAAACGTACCAACCACAAAGACGGTACTAGAACTAATGCATCTACTGCTTCTTTTTTTTCGCTATGAAGAACGCGCAGAGAAAAGTAACGTTAAATACGTAATTAGTGAAACGAATTGGTAGTGCGTAATAAAAACAGATGAATTAACACATAGATCTCCCCTGTGCGCAAATAAGCACACCATTGTGGAAGCATGCAACCGGGGAGGCATAGATTGCAGCGAATACGCAAACTTGAGCTGGACGTGTTCCTGCTAAGCTGCATAAAATATTGAAGCTAAAACACGTATGCACAATATGGAAATATAGCCATTGTTTATGTTAGGGAACAACACAATCCTTAGCTTCTTCATGTTTGATGTTCAGTATTTGTCCCACACGACAGCGCGTGTTCGACCATGCTGCATGCTATAAAAGCTAAAAACAAGCACGTGGCTTTAGGTGACGTTACCTCTGTTAATGTCAGAAACAAGGTTATCTTCATTGTTCATGGTGTCACTGAACCCTTACGACAGCAGAGTCATCAGAAAGCTTAACATGAACGCTCTGCAGTGTGTCCTGAAACACTTCAATTCTAGCGCCGCGTAGCCTTGCATTTTGTTGCCGTGATGTTACCTATGCATGCCGACCTAGGTATTATCTCGACAAGAGCACCCGTTGCTTTGGCGCTAGCATCAGTGAAGCTAGTGCAGGCTACGTGTCTGCCGACTGTACATGTTTAATAATACAGCATTCTATTGAATCTAGAAGTGTGCACGCCAATTTGGGCAACTCATCTTCTTTCGTGATCGTAAGCGGATTATGCTAACCTATTTATGTTTCAAGTTGTAGCTGTGCCCTCGAGGCCGTGCATGTTTCACTCTACTACATGCTATATCAGCCGAAGACGTGCATGCAAATTTAGAAAACCTTAAGTTTCTAATAGCCTTAGGGACAATGTTGTTTGTCTTGATGTTTTGACTTAGCCACTTTTATCGTCATTCTGTTTCCATGAAACCGTTGTTCAGTATCTCTGTCCCAGGAGAAGCTGTACGAACTTGCTACCAACTGCATGGACGTTTTCCTCGGCGGGTAAGTTCTTAGTATTGACACATTTTCGATAATAGGTCGATAACTCAGTCACTTCATTTTTGTTTGCCTTTTTTTCGCTTCAGCTACGACACGACGAGGCTGGCACTGACCTTTTGGTTTTACCTGATGGGTAAGCATCCCGATGTCCAGGAGAAAATGCGAACAGAAGTACTCGAAGCCTTCAAGAAAGAGGTCAGCGTGCAATTCCTGAATTTTAACGATTCCTGAAGGTGTGCTGCTATTGTTCGTGGCTTAAAAAATTTACGAATGACCCAAGCTAAAAATCATGCGAGTTCATGCTCTACGATTGATATAGATAACTTTTATTTCGTGGGTGACCTTGCTTCCGTAATCTCTTAGAACCGTCTTTTAATCCGGAATACCTAACCTCGATATTCTGCGTGTTTCCGAGAGACCCATTCTTTAGCTGCTAATCTACAGGGAGAATTCACTGGATAATATTGTCGTTATTGCGTTTTAAATTCGAAGTAGCTCATGCTCGGGGCTTGTCCCTTGTCCGTCGTCGTAGCCACGCTGGCACTCGGAGCGCCCACTAGATGGCTCTTTGGTAGAGTGCTCGCTCTTCTCTGTAGTGTCCTCCCTTATGAGTCGAGATTGCTAGCAGCACTGCACTGCTCTGTATAATAATAAACATTTCCTTCTTTTTCTCTCACACACACGGCGTAGTAGCATGAATGAAGACATGAGCATAAGTGCGTTGGAGGCGAGGGATGGCAGAGGGGCTGTGTTCACTACATTGAACGTTCGCGGTTATGAAGAAAGAGCACCTGTTTACAGAACTTTAAGTTGACCCATGGGTGCTTCACATACTCGTCAAGGAGAGATGTGTGCCATTTTTTTTGCGGACAACGGCTCCTACATACATACTTTAGGCAGTGTCTTAATCTCTTTTCTTTTATTTCTCCTTCTCTTGCTGTTCACTCCTTTTCTTTATTTTTGCAACATCTCTCTGCTATCACCTTTTACTTCCCTCACCCAGCAAAAGGTAACCAGCCGATCTAAGAACTGGCTAACCAACGTGTCCTCCTGCTTGTATCTTCGATCCTCGTCTTCCTGCACGCCATACGTGCCATTATTTATAAATAAGAGAAACCTGTGAACGTGCGACACAAATCTGCAGGTATTGCATTACAATAGGGATTAAACGGTGATCATAAACACCGTATTGCTGAAAAAGAATAACTGGGCTCTTGGTAGTATATGCGGAGGACTTTGGCATCACTAAATTATTTACAAATCATCATGATCACATGACTGCACCCACTGCAAGGCAAAGGCCTCTCCCACTGTTCGCCACACAGCATGGTTCTGTGCTTGCTGTGCTCCCGTTTCCTTCGCAAACCTGATAATCTGATCTTCCCACCAAACTTACAGCCTCCCCTTCGCATGCTATCTTCCTTCGCAATGCAGTTTGATACTGATAATGGCCAGCGGTCATCTTTTGTTCACTTCATAAGCCCTGCCAATGTCAGTTTCCTCTTCTTGATTTTGGCTAAGTAGTCTTTAATACCATCGGATGAATATAGCTCGTTCAGCCTTAAAGAGGACGCTGAGCCTTGCGCCAGCATGCTCCCGAAAGCGAGACACGTAACCAGGAAGTGATGGTTGACGTTCAAGTCTTATGCGGACCCGAACAAATGTCTCAGTTGTTTAGTGCGTGTCGGCTGTTCAGTTGGCCACATACTTTATACCCACTACTTGGCTGACCCACTCTTCTTCCTTCTTGTCCCTCAAGGTAACACCTGTAAGTTTTGTTTGCATTCGCAAATATTTATAAATCATATAAAATACAACTTACCAAACTTCAGCTATAATTACGTTCAACTAGGTGAGCCAATACTTTCCAGCACTGGTAAAACGCGAATACGTACATCACACCTCTTATAGGATCGATATATCTTACAAAAACATACCTGTAGGCTAATGGAATTAAAGCAAGTGAAATAATCGGAAAGTACTGTTTCCGAAAAAAATTCATCACTTTCTTTTTGTAGGAGGATGAACTATCCGTTCAGACACTGATGGGGCTGACTTACACGAATCAAGTGCTGTCTGAGACGCTACGGATGTATCCACCCATCATCACGTGAGTATCACAGACAAACTCAACAAAACATAGACACGATGGCTTGCACACTAACAGTATGATTACCAGCATAAACTATTACCAACGGGCCCGTTCATGCTATTCATGAGATTATTTGTTGCACGAGTGACCGCGACTGCTGAAGTGTGTTTGACCCAGAATAGCTGCGAGCGAAACTGATATTTATGGTATAGTCGTTGCGCGATGATTCTTCTCTCTCACACGCATACCCCACACCCGTTTGATAACTCTTATTTTTATTGAAGGTATGCATTAGTTAACTAGTATAACGCAACGTGTGCCTTGTTGGTGATCCATGAATGATGATGACGGTGATGATTTCGATGATGATGATGATGATGATGATGATGGTGTGTGTGTGTGTGTGTGTGTGTGTGTGTGTGCGTGTGTGTGTCTTTGTGTGTGCGCGTGCGTGTTCGTTCTTCATAGGGTGGCTGCACAGGGCTCTTCAACACAATCATTTATTCAGCTCACCGTGTTTTTTAGGAAGTATTCACGGAAGTTTGTTTGTTTAAAATGCGAAGCATTTATTAGCAAACTTCGGCGTCTTTGAGCTTATCTATCTATCTATCCGCCTACGTTTGGCTGCTCTCGCGGTCACCCCTTTAACTTGGCGTGAACCAAAATTAGCATGGAAGGGCAAGATGGTTCGAAGAATATGACGCGCTAGTCAGAACATGCATAATGTCATATTCCCGTCGCGTACGTCGTCGAACACTTCCCATCAGACAGTGGCACATACCCACGTGCGAGTATGTGCGTGCATGTACCACAGGTGGTTTACTTAGTATCTACCGAAAAACGACGAGAGTACACGTGGGAAATTTTAACGCGCAAGCGTCAAGAAATACCTGACATCGGTAGTGTCAACCCGACGCATGCAAGTATTAAATGTCAGGGTCCCAGCTGGAATCGAACCCAAGCATTCTCCGTGGCCATGAAGCATTCTACCACAGAGCTACGCCAGGTCTCGGAACTACTTTTCAAATAAACGACAATCTTCGTGAAACGTCAATAGAGGTTGCATTGCTGCCTATCCAATTTCCTAAACATCACATATGTACTCCTTCGATACAGCCGTCACATCGGGTTAACGTCGATTGTGGTCAAGTGCCATGCGCTCAAGTTGATTTATGTACGTATGTAATTTATGTCCAGGGCCAGCACCCTCGCGAGCATCAGTGCTTCATATCAGATTATGGTGTTGCTAATACGCATGCTCCTGTTGGCATCGTTTGCGCAAGTTCAAACTGGTTATATAAACATCTGCGACTCTTCAACATATATCTGTGCGGGCGGAATCGGTACATATATTTATCGTCATTTCGTGACGTGTCGCTCAATAAAAAAGTTGCAGCACAGTCATCCTTCCCTCCGCATGCATCGCATAACGTCGATCACATCATACGTGAGATCTGCCGAATTTTTTTTTGTTGAATATCACTGATTTTTCAGGCCATGGCGCGTAATTCTGGTCAATAGAAGGGGCGTTCCGTCAAAGTTGCTGGCATTTTTTTGTTGCTTCTTTCATTGGCTTAATTTACGCATACCAAAAGCATGCGACCAACATTCTCATAGTATTTATGATGATTGGAGTACTGATGTGAGTTTATCAATGAATTTGGTGCAGATTGGTATTAGTTTGCACGGATTACTTACTTAGCCATGTAAACCTTTATTCACTGTGAACCCTTCCGTGATATATCCGCCGCACTGCGAACTTGTCGTGATGGCGATAAAAAAGCGCGCGTTATGTGGTGACCTGCAGGTTTACAACGCGCTGCGCGGATGAAGATTACCGGTACGGCAAGTATCTGATCAAGAAAGGAACTTCTGTCATGGTGCCCACGTACCAGCTGCATCGCGACCCGCAGTTCTGGACGGACCCGGAAATGTTTGACCCCGACAGGTAGGCAGCGTAGTACACCCGTGAATACCGTAAATGAAGGTGTCTTGACGAGCTGCATTTGTCCTTGCAAACGCGTAGATGCACAAAATAAGAAAAAAAAAACAAATGCGGATCTTGCATACCACCAACTTTTTATTCAATCGCTCATGCTTTTCACGCGTGTATAGGCGCATTTCCCAGGTAGTACGAAATGGTGGTTATAGTGACTGTACAAAGTCTGTCACAACAGTTAGTTATTCACGGTGGCGGTTATTGGCATTCGTGGAGCCCTTTTCAGTAATTTTACAGTGCCCTCAATGGGACACTAGTGATAGCACACTTGGAAGTTTTCTGCATGACGTCGTGTTCATGCCGGCCGCTTCGATCATTTTCGCATTCGTGTTAAATAATCATTGTGGGATGGCGGGAGCAGAGCCGGGGCGGGGGGGGGGGTGTCAAACATAATACAGAATTTTCTCTATTTCTATATCGATAAACACACACAACCTCACACACGCACGAATACAGATGTATTATGGTGACGTTAATATTTTCTAGTCACGTTACTATGGGTTTGAGTGTCTCATATTCTTATCTGGTACAGCTTACCGATCACCTGACTCACGAGTTCGATGCCGGCCGCGGTGCTTGCATTTCAATGGAGGTGGAATGCTACAGACCCGCGTACTGCCTGATGTGAGCGCACGTTAATGAATAAAAAAATTTACAACTATCCGAAGCTTTCCATGCAGCGTCTCTCACAATCGCATCGTGGTTATGGGACGCAAAATCAAGGATATTTTCTTCATCCACACTCCCTTTCATTCGCCATGGTAGTAAACACATAACGCCAAGTTACCCATAACGCCAAATAATGGGATCCTAAACAACTACATGCGTTCACATGCTGCGGATCTGTAGAAGATGTGCGCGCTCCTTACGGTTTCACTTCGAACACCGAGGAAGGGCATTTAGGGAGGCGGACGCAGGAGCCGAGCAAACCTATCGCAGGGAAGCAAAGGGCGAAACAAGCGAGCGTACATAGCTCCGCGAGCTTTTGTTGTAGACTCGCCGGTTCTAATGCAGCGGCTGAACTAAATTTTGACCTCTGGATGGCTTAGGGGCCCTTAAACTATTGAAGGTCGACGGCACGTCTGTCTGAAATCAAAAATGAAGCAGAGAGCACAGCATTAATTTCAATAAACAATACCGCACAACAAGCATTGAAACCGCATGGTGGATGATAAGGCGCCTGCAAACAATGGCAACCCTTTCCCACAGGTTTCCTTTGAATATTAGTTTGCACCTGCTTAGCACTTCCGACAAGGGCTTGAAATAACATCAAACGGTTCTTCCCTGTCCCCGCACGTGTTTCCCTCTTTCATACGCAAACGAAAGACCTATCCAGCAACTCCAGTTCACTTTAAGACTGCTATAGACCATGGAAATAAAGGACACCAGAAGAACAGCGCAAATACAAAGCCAGAAAAAGGAACAAACTTGTTTTGCTAAAAATTGTCCTGGTCTACAACAGTGCCCAAAATGCCACTGTAACTAACGTTATCCAACATGATAATGAATCATACTCCCTCATCCCCATATCTGTATACGGAGATTCGGGTACACGTTAAAGAACCCCAGGTGGTCGAAATTTCCGGAGCCCTTCACTACGGCGTCTCTCATAATCATATGGTGGTTTTGGGGCGTTAAACCTCACATATAAATCAACCAATGCCAGCGTGTGTGGTGTCTGGCCTGATACAGCTTATCTGGGCATTGACGTTCGCAGGTCAGCATGGCGACCAATTTCTTTTTCTTCTGTTCTGTTGCCCCATTCTATTCCCAGGTTCAGCCCTGAGAACAAGCATCTCATCAAGCCCGGCGTGTATCAGCCGTTTGGTCTTGGGGTTCGCATATGTGTCGGCCAGCGTTTGGCCCTCCTAGAAATGGCCTCAGTCACATCGCAGGTGTTGCGTCGATTTCGGATAACTCACGGCCCCAGTCAAAAGGTTAGGCTCATTTTTCGCATATTTTATTCACTTTTTTTATAATAGATCACCCAATGAACAACCGGAAGTGAACATTAGTTCACTGAATACTATGGTTCCATTCTTCTCAAAAGGACTCATCAGTAATTGCTTATACACTTTAATACCTTTTCGCTTTCGTCATTGTTACTCTACCAGAGGCAATATTAATGAGAAGGAATGTTTATCAAACTAACGAGGACTGATTGGCCTCAAATATTGTGTATAACAAAAAAGGAGCTCCCAAACATAAGCTGAGCTAGAGTTAAGACACTCAATTAGTGTCCCCTATACCTTCCCTAGCTTTAATGTGTGTTGGTTTCATTACCTTGTATCAATGAAAAAACAACGAATTCTCAATCAATTCAGCTCATTCATTTATTCATAGCGTGGGACTCGTTTAGCAACACCTACTGGCTCAGGCAATGTGCCAGGTTTATTGGTCAGCGTCAACGTCGTAATGACATCACGTGCTCCATGATGACAATTCCCAACGAAATTTTACACTGGGCGCTGTGGCTGCGAGCAGTGCTGGCTATCACTACGAGTATTACACAAACACAAACACACAGTAAAGTGGATGCGATAGCCACCAATGCCGTAGCCCAAAAGGTAAAGCATTGGACGCGTTTCCGAAGACTGTAGGTTTGCTCTCCGCTTGAGGCAAGTTGACGTTTTATCTATTTTAATTCCTCGCCGTTCATGGCATAATTACTATTCTATGATTATACTGTACATATAATGCCTCTAATGCCGTCTTTGGCTTCCGGGTCACTTGGTGTCATGGGATCAAGTCCAACAAAGAAATTAACACCGATCAATACCTTCTCTCTTGTCCTCCACGCATAAGTGCTGTTGCATCGGTTGGGTTCAATAAGAAGAATTGGAGAGCTTCGTACGATCGGAACACTTCCCGCCGTGTCGCTTTGGCATTTCAAGGATCATGGTTGATCTCTCCATCATAGGAATTGGTATAACACGAAAGTAAAACGCCTACTTACAGAGTACATTGATGTAACAGAGCTCATACAACATCAATTGGTCGACAGCTATAGCATCGTTTTTTTGGAAATGACTCCACGTTGATGTTTAGTAATTTATCTGCATCCTAGTGACTATAGTTGATGATTAAATATTCATTATTGATTCACATTAACGCTACGTCAATCACCTGCATTCTGGTGACTAACGTCTATGATTATCTACTGATTATTTAACGTGATCTTGGTTATAAATGCCTGGGGTTGCTGTAGTAGCTAGCGTTGATATCGGAACCATGTAAATCGCTGTGACAGCCAGAAGAAACATGAGCCAGTCAGACTTTCTGGAGCCCTAGACCATGGCGTCCGTCATAACCATGGGACGTAAAACGCCTGAAATGTTTGGAAGCTAAACCCCCAAAGTTTAATTTGCAGCCTACTGACAACACGCGAAATAAATATCTGAGCAATTGCTCAAAAGCGAATCACGCTTCTGACAAAGCTGAAGGCAATGAAGACGTTTAGCTCCGATAAGGATAACCAGTTCCGTAGCATTCAGGAACTGTGCACTGGAGCCAATCAGTGTCTGTTTGTGCATTTGCACCTGCTAATTGATACCACTTCAATATTATGATCATCATTGCACCTCTTTTCGTTATTACAGCCTGATATGGAACTCTTCACGTACGCATTTTTGTTGGCTCCAAAGGAACCAGTTTGGATTCAGTTGCACAAGTTGGACGGCATCAAATAAAGCGGCATTTTCTAGTCAACCTGTTTTCATTTGCTTTCTTTTGCACTCAAAGAGATTGAAAAGTACACTACCTTCATTATTACTGATTGAAACAACACAATCCCTTGAAGAAACACAATAACGTGCGAAAGTAGGTTCGCTGAAGTCTTACCCTACGAAGCGACCAATAAGGGTGACGCTCTCCACTTCCGTTGCACACAAAGACACTATGGTCACGTTCGCTGACTCCGCGACCCGGTGCATAAATGATACTCGAGACAGCTTGTCAACAAGCACGCGTTTATTTACCCATGATTGACAAACAACGGCTTGCGGTTGATTGGGATTTTTTTCTCATTTCATTTGTGTCGTCGTACATCTTTGGCAACGAGCACGCCCTGTACTGGTCTTTAAGACCTCTGCTCTGCTGGGGCGGGATCCTTTCTGCAAGTTTCGCTGAGGAGGAGATGGTGGTGGACCTGCCTAGCAGCATGGGTAGCCCTATCACTGCAAGGATGCGGCTCAGCTCTTCAGTGACATCAGAAGCAGCCGATTCCAAGTCTGATGCTACTTCTGATGACTCGGACGCATTTCTACCTACTAAGCATCGACAGCCAAAACGAAAGTCGGTGGCATCATCCTCAAGTGGAGAGACCGTAATATACAACAGCATCGTGACTACGACAGTTGCTTATGTGCCCGTCGACGTCACGGTAAGCCTGAACGCTATCTCCGGACAGAAGCTTTATGACTTTTTCTTCAAACTTGCCCCTGGTCTGATTCAACAAGTTCGAGTGAATCCCAGGAAAAAATATTGCCGTAGACACAACAGATGAGAAGAGGGTGCAAACCCTGCTAGGTCTATCTCAGCTATGCAACGGCAACGTGCGGGCTTTTGTTCCACAGGGCGCTAACGTAACAGCTGGAGTTATATCAGATGTATACCTAGAACTTTCGTACGACGTTTTGAAAAGTATTATAGTTTGCACGCCACCATGCAGAGTCATCAGCGCTCGAAGGCTTGGCTCTTCGAAGTGTGTGAAGATTCTTTTCGGGTGCGAAAAGCTACCTAGCCACATAAAGGCCAGACTAGTGCGGTACCCAGTCCAACCTTAAATACCAAAGCCTCTACAATGCCGAAAATGTATCAAGCTTGGACATGTACAAAGTTTCTGCACAAGTGTTGTGGTCTGTGCTAAATGAGGTGCAAATCACAACGTAAAACTTTGCAACAGTGCGACATCTCGCTGCCCTAGCTCTAATGGCGAACACTTGGCAACGGTCAAAGAATGTCCCAACCTAAATGAAATGCGAGGTCCTGAAAGAGAAACCTAAAAATATAGCATCACGAGAGAAGACGCCTAGTCATAGCACCCATCAAGTAGCTGGCGACGGCACAAGTGAAGATGCACCTGTACGTACGAAGAAGAGTACAGTCAGAGCGAATCGAAGCGACGGAGGGCAGCGCCATTTCACCATTTCGGTAACATCGTGGCCGGCGCTTCCATCAAAGCCGTCGGACACAACCTCCTTAAAGGGCACGCCTCATAAAGTGTCGGAACCAGCTTCCACTAAGGCCATGTCTGCAGTAGAAAATACTGTAAACAGGGCGCCAGAAATGGCTCCAGACAACGTTGATTCCCAACTTGTACACATGCTTAGGATGCTTGTTAACGTCGTCAGATCACTCATAGCGGGTCGTCAAACGCCAGCAGCATTAGCCGCACAACAGCTCTTGGAGGCTCTCGTTCCAGTTCTCGACAAACTTCACTGAAAGCAACATGAACACCCGTCGCAAGCCTCGTCCCTATGTGATGCAGTGGAACGTCAGGTCTCTATGACCGTGCCATTCTAATCTCGTTCTTAGGATCCTTTGAATGAAGAATCCGCCGAATGTTATAGCTCTCCGAGAAACCAATGTGAGAAATGACGAGCTCAGACTTCCGGGTTACGTGGGCGTTCACAGCAATACCCGATGCATGATAATGGCGTGTGCATCTTTCCAGTATACAGACCCCACGCATCCACGAAATGCTTCGAAAGCGTCATTGAACATACGATATGGTGTTCATTTCGCAGTTATCGAAGCAAGTGACCTCTGCGACGCCGACTTTGAATGTGTAGGAGTTGCTATTAATTTCAAGAACACAACTACGACTGTGGCAAGCATATATTTTTGGCCTACGTGATCTTTGGACATCCCATTGCTGAAGTGACTGATTCTCAGTGTGACTCGTCTTTTCTGCTGTGTGTAGATTTCAATGCCCATCATCCTCGTTGGTGTTGTCGCCCACAAGACAATCGTGGAGGGGAAATAAATGAGCTTGTTGTTAAACATGATCTGCAGAGCCTTAATGACAGCTCATCCACATTTGTCGGCAGAGGAAAGGAACAATCCACCATTGATCTTGCCATATCAACGAGAGATGTGCGTCTTACTTGGTCAAGTAAAGCTGACCAATGGGGTTCTGATCATCTGCCCATTTGGCTGGTTCCAGAGAATTCTCCTAGCAGCCAGAGTGCTGCCTACACAGTGACAAATTGGAACACGTTCCCTCAGCTGATTGCGGGGGCGCACTCACACAATAACCTGTTCAAACTTGTGAGTGAATGTCCACAGCAAGCTACAGTACGACAACTGCGAAGCATAGACAAGCCAAACCATGACCTAAAATTCTTGAGACTACGTTCTTGTCGACGACGTGCTTACAAGAGGGCACAACGTTCCAAAAAAAGCTCTGATGAAACACATTATAACCGCGTAGATGCAGTCATTAGGCGGCACACAAAACAAATCGTCGAAGAAGCTGGGCCACATTGTGTCGCTAGTTGCATCAGCGAGCGGTTTTGAAAGTGTATGGAGCACATTAAAGGCTCTCCAAACACCTGAGGTCTGCAAGAACCTAACTACAGCATTGTGCATCACGACTGGACGGTCTCAGAAATTCTTGCGGAAGATTTTGCCACTATTTTCACCTGTCCTATGTCAAAAGACAATGTCAGTCATCGTTCCGTACCCATTTTATATGGACCCGCATGTGAGATGAATGAGGCAGAATTTACCCTGGCCGAGCGGAGTCATGCACTTAGCCTCTGTTACCGTCGCACTGCCCCAGGCGAAGATGGTGTCACGTACCAAGCCTTGCGAAACATTGATGAAGTCTTTCATCAAAGCATCTTGGACGAATACAACAAAGTATGGCAAACGAGTCTGATTCCTGCTGAGTGGAAATCGTCTGTGATGAAGCCAATTTAGAGCCTGGTCGCCCTGCAAGACTCCTGAAGTCATACCGGCTAATATCACTAACTTCTGATGTTATGAAGCTGATGGAACGTATGGTGCTGTTTCGTCTGGACGCCAAATTACAGGAGCTCAATTTCTTCCCTGATATCATGAGCGGATTTCGTTGCCACCATTGAGCCCTCGACAGCATAGCAGATCTTGTATCATCACTTGAATCTGCTCGAGCAAGACGACATTCAGCGTATGTTCTATTTCTTGACATAGAGCAAGCGTTTGAATCGGTGCCACATAAGGCGATTATTTGTGCACTGATGAATGGAGGAATTTCAGGTCGTCTGTTACACTGTATCCGAGGTTTTCTATCTGCGCGCAGAATAAAAGTGCGCATTGTAGAAGTACAGAATCAACTTTGCACTGTTAAATGTGGAGTCCCGCAACGCAGCGTCTTGTCACCACTTCTATTTAACAGCGTACTTGCTGGACTTCCAGGCCGATTACCGCCAGAATGTGGCTTTCCTATAGGCATATCGATTTATGCTGATGACATCACACTCTAGGTCAGTACTCCGTCACACCATGGTCCACGTCTTCGTGGTATACTGCAGCGAGCTCTGAATGCAACTTCAGAATACTTGGTGGAAGTTGGCCTGCAGGTTTCATTTGCGAAGTCAGCTGCAATCGCGTATCATTCAAGGCAACGCGCTCGTCGAAGCCTTAGACGAGCACGTTGCTCGGAGACAACCTCGGAGACACACCGATACAGTGGGCACACCAACATCGCTACCTGGGTGTAATCATCGATGATCGCCTTTCTTGGCGCCCTGTTTTTTAAAACGGTGAGGCGAAAATTGCTGTCCCTGCTCAAGTATGTAGCCGCCTTGACTGATAGGGGTGAGAGCATTGATCAGAAGACGGCACTACAGGTTTACCAATCAGTTGTACCCTCTTGCGTGATGTATGCCTTGCCAGTCTTGAATGTACCGCCTGCTTTAATGTCTCACCTATAATGGGATCAACGTGTTGCCCTCCGAGTACTGTTTGGCTTACCTCGTGAATCACAATCCATCCCACTACTTACTGACAAACAAGTTGTCGCTAAGGCTGCAAGTTGACCAGAGAGCGCTACATCATATTGAGCGTCTGAACTGAACCCCACATGGCAAGACACTCCTTAACAGGCTGTTACAGCGCCCACTTTCTCGGATGGGTAAAATGGCGGCTTTGTTCAATGACATTACTGGCGATTCCGGTGAAATTATTAAGTTGCCAACATCGACAGAGCACAAGCCATGTGCCTTCCCTACCCATCTGTAAATTTCGGGAATACGCCAAAAGTGTGACAAACCTGTTTCGGAACTATACCAATTAGCCCATTCCCACTTATTTGAAAACTTCGAAGACTATGCAAAAGTATTTACGGTCTCTTCTGTAAGCAGTGATGGCCTGAACGCTTCTGCAGCTTTATTCTGCCCTTCAACCGATATCAGGCGGTTGTTTAAAATACCGCACCCCTCATCGTCCGTGACGGCCGATCTAGCAGCGATTGATGTCGCCCTTAAGTACGTACGAGAAGGGTTACCAGCATCCGAGGTTGTCATCCTCACCGACTCTTGTGGTGACCTTAGCAGACTCACCAGCAAGGAGACCGACAGCCCTATTCTGAGCAGCATCATGGAATCCATTAACAATGTTTTGTCCCGTGGAGTATACGTAGCTGCACAGTGCGTACCTAATTCGCACGCGGGTATTGTGGGCAATGAAGACGCGGATGAAGACGCGGATCTGTTTATACGCCG